ATTGTAGTTCTTAGAAGTCTTCGGAACCTCGACATTCTCCTCAAATACCCACATCTCAACCTTCTCCTCAAAGAGGTCGGGGTTGCTGGCCGCATTTTCGGCAACGATCTTGGCGATGGCGCAGCCCCTATCGAGTAACACAATCAGCACAAATCCACCGCCCTTTTTAGGGACTGATTTCTTACCAGTTACCGGAGCCTACCACCGTGATCTTGTGCTTGCGCTGATAAGGAGTGACAGAACCCATGGTGTGTGTAGAAGAAACAATTGATCTACGGGAAAGAGGTCCGGAGAAGGTGGGTTTAAAAGGTGAAGAAGAAATCGGCGGGGGCAAACGGTGTGGATTTATGAATGGGGTCTGGAACCGGGTGGCTGACCGGGCGAGTGACCGAGGTCGAAATGCGGTCGAGGTGTGAGGAACGCAGATCCGACGTAGGTTGAGACGTATATCCATACAAGTTATCGTGTTGGGACCCCCAATGATTTCAGCCTTTTCGGGATTGCCTTCTGACCACCAATTCTGATGTCACCGGAAAGCCGTCGAAATTCGGAGAGGGCAATTTAGCGCACGAGAACCTTGATAACGTCAGTCAAAGCGGACTTTGGTTTTTTTTTTCTTTCTCTTTTTTCTCTTTTTTCTTTTTGCCTTTGACACACACATGAACTAATTGATCTGAAGAGCCAAACAACGTTGAGTTCCTGAGAAGAACAGTGGGTAGAGTGGAACCAGGCGGTGAACAATTGGAGTTGGGGTTTCGCTTTTCCCGTCGCAAATTCGTCTTTTCGTTGCTCCCCGCTGTAGATCTCACATGCCAACATGGTAAGCTGCCCTATTACTTATCTCGTTCCACTTTCAGCCGGTTAATTATCGTTCTATCTTCACAGGCTCCTATTCGCAAATCAACGAAAACTGCCTCGGGCAGAGGCGCGATAGCCAAACCCAGTGTCTTTGGCGACGAATTTCGCACAAGCAAGAGGGATAAACGTCAGATCAAGCATGCTGCCCTCGTGTCTAAGATCGAGAAAGATTCCCAGAAGACTCCCAAGCGTCGACGAGCGTCAAAAAAACTTGTCGCTAACCTCGAATCCTTGGCCGATGCCTTGCCCGAGGCTGAAGAATCCACCGATGCCGCCAGTCAAGTGAATGTGATCAAGCAGAAGACCCTGAGGCACAAGCCAGGTGCACTGAAGCGCCGGGAAAAACTCGAGAAATTGGAGCGAGACCGCTTCAACAAGAACCTGACCGAGATGTCCAACATCACATCAGCCCCGGCTGCCAACACTGGCGAGGCGAGTACCGAGTCGAACCCGACGGCTGGTCGGTGGTCGGCTCTCCGTAACTTCATCTCACAGACGATGGAACAGCAGCCTGTGTTTAAGGCGAATAAATAAGGGTGGTCAGGATGAACATAAAATCACTCGGTCGGTGACCGAGCTACCACTGTGGTTGCTGCTAGCCGTGAATATTTGTCTAACTAGTGAAATCCGGCAATAACGTGGGAAAAGAAAAAGCATCCATAGGCTCTCCTCAAAGTTGAGTTTCGGCGAATACACTGGAGTGTATAGCGCTCAACCAAACTACGATCGAACCACTTGCTTCTATTGGATTTAAACGGTGAAATCTGCACCTGGTCCCAAGAAGCTCTTGCGGTTTAAGCATTGCTATATTCCCGGGGAATACAACGCCTTCCGGGGCCACGGACGCCATCGAACAGCCCCGACATTAGAAAGCAATAACCAAATACCCATCATTGTCATCAAAGAGCTGCATCTATCTTACTATTTTACCCTCTTTCCACCCGTAGGTACCAGAACTGGATTTGCAACAACTCAAATATTGAAAGCTGACTAGACAGCCAACTTATAACCTCAAGCGCAATTTTGCATAATCCCAATATCGGCTGCCCAACCCTTTCTAGAAGGAAGTGCACTAAGGTCCCATACCTGCTTAGAAATATAGAGATAAGGATCTCTGTCTTCTCGGAATACTCCTGCACATTTGCTTTATTGAGATAAGCACTCATCTTGGCATCGCCACGAACGAACCAGAGGGATTTTTCATTTGTGGCATTATTGTTGGCATACTACCGTGCAACCTTGAGTTGCGTCAGCGGTTTAACCTTGTGCGATCGCCAGATCAGTAATGGTTTTTCTTCAAGCTGGGTTGACAGGGCTGTTGATTTTGTTGGCGTGAGCTGAGACTGCTCCATTTGCGACCACATATCTACAAGGTACCCCCTGGGCCACATTGGAGGCTACTGGATGATTGCACTAGGAGTTTCTGTGTAGGTACCGTTTGTCGAAGGTGCTCGCTGTAATGCGTCAATGAATATTTGACGCGAGACTTCTTGTGTTTTATATAGAAAAGTTCTCTGCGAATTCCATGCTTTTTACCACCTTCCCATACATCTAAAAACATTAAAAAGAACATTTAAACAGACCACCAAACAGACATGACTAGGCTTAGGTTATATGGATAATTGTAGTTGAATTTATCCGTGAATAGCCGGACCACCTGTTCATCAAGCAGATGACTCATCAGATAAGATCACCTGCGGGGAAAGCTATCCGGTATCTGATCCATCGCTCTCCAATCCTCCGAGGTCCTTCCTTTACTTGGTGATTTCAGGGCTCTCTATCAGTCTCTCATAAATCCTTTGTAACTTACTGGTGCCCAGCAATGCTGTGGCTGCATTTCCAGCGTCGCCTCCCGGCCACCTTGGCTCGTCGTGACATTGTCCGGTGTCGGCTTCCTCAATCATACAGCTGGTCCACACGCCAACTCTCTAGCTCCTCCACCACTTTTCCGACATTGTCTCAATTCAACCGGTCAGAATTCACAAGTCAGCCATTTACTGGTAGCTATGAAACTGGACTCCCTACTCCCGGGCCATTAGGATCAACCCCGGCCTTTGGCGCCCCCCGCATCACACCGAAAGTGTTAAAGCAATATCTCGATCAATATGTCGTCGGTCAGGATCGCGCAAAGAAAGTGCTCAGTGTCGCCGTGTACAATCACTACCAGCGCGTGCAAGAGTTAGTGCGCCGGGAGGAAGAAGCAGCCGAGGCTCTCGCGAAGCGTCAGCGGAGGGAAGCACTCGAGATTCATCCCTTGGACGGTATATTACCTGTTGATTTTGATGCTGTCGCTCATTTTCTAATTTAGTTTTCGATACAGCAGATAATACCACAGGCGCGCAGAAGACTGCCAGCGTACCTCAGACCCCTAAATCCCGCCAAAACACGCCCTTGGAGCAAGCAGACTTCGCCGATGCATCGCCGCTACACCTTGAAAAGTCCAATATTTTGTTACTTGGCCCGTCTGGTGTAGGAAAGACACTTATGGCAAAGACTCTTGCTCGGGTTCTTTCTGTGCCTTTTAGTATTTCCGACTGCACTGTGTTCACCCAGGCCGGTTACATTGGAGAGGACGCGGAAGTGTGTGTTCACCGACTTTTGGCAGCTGCAGACTACAACGTGGAGCAGGCAGAGCGTGGAATTATTGTTCTCGATGAGGTGGACAAGATTGCAGCTGCGAAGGTTAGTCATGGCAAAGATGTCGGTGGTGAAGGAGTACAGCAGGCGCTTCTCAAGATCATTGAAGGCACGACCGTGCAGGTCCAGGCCAAGCCAGAGAAGAATCCCCGCGCAACTAGCCCCCCGAATAGCTTCCCCTCCAACAGTCCCTTAGGGAATGGGCCATTCCAACCCAATAACCCCAATCCAGGCGCTAAGGGAGAAGTGTACAATGTGCGAACAGACAACATCTTGTTTGTGTTCTCTGGCGCCTTCGTTGGACTGCACAAAGCCATCATGGATCGAATATCCCGTGGGTCCATAGGCTTTGGTCAGCCAGTTCGACCCGCCTCAAACACTAGTGATTTTCCTGGCTCGCCAAATATCTCTACAAACCAACCACTTCCAATCCTTCCAGGGTCTGACGAAGAAGCACTGTATAAGAAACACCTCCCTTTCTTCTCCTCTGCCTCGCCAGCCGGTTCTGGCGCTGAGCCAACCTATTTCAACGCACTCGACCTATTAACACCTTCGGACCTGCAAAGCTACGGCTTCATCCCTGAACTGATCGGCAGGATTCCCGTCACCGCCGCTCTCTCTGCACTATCTCAACCCTTGCTTATGCGCATCCTAACCGAACCCCGCAACTCCCTTCTAGCCCAATACACGACCCTGTTCTCCCTCTCCGGTATTGAGCTGCGCTTCACCACACCGGCACTCCACAAAGTCGCCGGCAATGCCTTTACAATGGGCACCGGCGCACGCGCGCTACGAACTGAGATGGAGACCATTCTCAGTGACGCCATGTTCGAAGCGCCCGGCTCGAGTGTGAAATTCGTCCTCGTGACCCAGGCTGTAGCTGAACGCAAGGAACAGCCTATCTACCTTGCCCGTGGACAGGGAGGACGTTTCCATGCTATGATTTCCGCCGAGGAAAGCCAGTGGGAAGCAAAGACTCGCGGGGAGAAGAAAGACCAGGATCAAAAGACTAAGACGCAAGATGATGCGGATGGCTCCAATGCGTCAAACTTCCAGGAGTACCGGAATCGAGCGACTGGTTGAGTGTAAATAAATGGTATGCATTCATCTCATCTCTGGCGACTATTTTTTATCTTTCCGGGTGTTGTTCTTCGTGTCCCAGTTGCATTGGCGGCAATTAGCGTGCAGCTTAACAAAGCCATACTTTCTGAATTGCGAGCGTTCGTATGATAGGCCGCCCATTACTGATCAAGCGTTGGATCTTAATTTTGAATGTAAGTGGACAAACTAGTAGTTATACACGACTGCAAGTCTTTTGAGGTCGACTTTCATATAATTGGGGTTCATTTCATAACATCATAGCTTCCATAGCTTTCTAGGTATAATACATTCAATAACAAACTAATGGGGGTATCATAAACGATTGTGCAAGAAGAGAAAGAGAAATATGAGCACAATCACGCGTATTTGTGGCGTAACCTGCTTTGATCGTAACGTCGCAAAGATCACTTGTAGGGAGCAGGGTATTTGCCCATGCCTTTGCCGTTTGGGCTGCCTGTGAAGGTAGATTGAATAGCGGTGTTAGAGTTGTGAGATGCCCAATTAGGTGTCTGGGGTGTGGTCATTGTCATAGGGGTGGCTGCTTGGCTAGTAGAAACCTGTGAGTTGGAGCCACCTGACAGGTAGGTCATAATGGTCTTTGGGTCTATTTTGAAGCGTCTAAAGAAATGGCCGAAACCACCTCGCATGACAGTGATATGGCCCCATTCGTCCCACCGTGGTCCAGTGAGAGGACCGAGAGACGTGACAGCGACAAAATTCCGGAAACGTGGTATGTGAACCAATGACCATCCCGCGAAGAATTCTATCAGATGATCTGTGTCGCGTTCAACTTTGTCCTCGATTTTGAGGGAGTGGTGCTCTGTGCGAGTGCCGTATTCATTGAGAGAGGGTGCGATGACGTTGCTTTTTGAGTTGGGGTGTAGACTGGCTTTATTAAACAAGTCCACGCGAGGGTCCGTGATGTTGTTCTTGATGATCAACGTGTGGATGAGCAGCAGGCTACATTTGTTTTCGTTAGAAGCTTGACCCAACTAGTGGTAAAGAGGTATGACATACAGTCCATGATCTTGCGAGTGATTTTCATCGTCGAGTCTCCTTTCGATCCATTCAAGTATCCCGGGGAAAAGCATCAAGGTCCAAGATTTACGTTTGTGCTTGTTAACACTTCGAATCCATTGGAGAGTGACGGCCACCCCCTTTAGGTCTGTCAACACGTCCTCGGTGAGAAGTATGACGCCGCCATATGGAAAGATGCGTAGATGGTGGTCACTCGGTGAACAATAACGGGGATCAACTAATTCGAGTGGACTTTGAATGCGAACAATCCAGAAATTGAACGAGTTGGTAGGAAGTACAGAATTGAGTGCAGGGCGCAACATATCGTATCCGGCGAACGATTCGTGAAACTGCTCTCGGTTAGTTGTTTGACAATTGTGAAACTGTAAATATCGATCACATACTATGGCCACGCCCTGCCTGCTGTTCTGCATAAATTTTGCCCAGTCTCCGGGGCTGTCGCTTGTGAGAACAATTTTCTCATGGTACTTCAAGACTCCCTGCAGAAACAGCAGTTCCTGGTGTATTTCTTCATTGCCTAAGGGGAAGTGCAAATAGAAAATACCGGCCTTTGATAGTTTCCCACCTTCGTCGATTGTCGCAAGTTCTTCCACGTCGATATTACAGCGTTTCATGAACTCTTCGATCGTTTGGCCCAAGTTAGCCGCTTGAACCGTGAGGTTATCTTGGGGTTGGGGGTTAGCGTAAATTAAATTACCCCTGAGATCACTTGTGGGCGGAATGCTTTGGACCGATGCTGGGGTGGGCATCTCTCGCGAGCGCAAGGATCCACCCATTCTCATATCATGATAGAAGCTCGACCGTTTTGGGGAACTGCCGAAATCTAGGCCATCATCTACACTAGGTGGCTTGACGCGCAGTGAAAGCGACGCATCTGGCAAAAAGCCATACGGTTGACCGCTAGGCTGGCTAGGTCCACTTGAGCCTGGAACTTCCATCGGTGCGAGCATAGTGCGAGCGGCAATAAGCAGAGGAATGCTAGGTGGCACTTCGTCCTGAGGACGTGGAAATTTGAATTCCTGTGATGCACGTGACCAAGCAACCCAGACAATGTTCGGCCCATTTCTTAGCCTTGTAGGATAGTGGATGGCGATGAGATCGTCCTTTCGCAAATCTTCTGCTAGATGGAACAGATTTTCGTTGGTGTCGCTGAAGCCCTCAACCCAGCCTGTACTCAGCACAGAATTTGTCGCCTATAGCCAATGTTAGCATTCTATAAGAGACAAATCTATGGATTTTATACTGACACTGGATGCACACAATCTTTCGTACTCTCTGACTGTGCACAGGTGCTTAAACCAAACCTCAACTTGGCCTGTTTTCGGGTTCTTAGCCAAGATCAAAGATTTCCGGGGACCCGGACGGATGCCGCATAATCTGAAAGCACCAAGTGCTTTCTTGCCGGGTCCGATAAAGACGTGGACAAGGATCTCTCCCAGGGCTGTATTACACCAGTAATTACCAATCCTCTTGCAACCAGGCGCCCGCCTATCACACACGGGCATTCTTGCAATTTGGGCCGTAATAGAAAGATTGGGTTGAGCAGATGCCCCAGCTCTGGGTTCGACGGGAGCAAATGTTTGAACATTGGCGAATGAATTTTTATTCAAAGCGATTGAATTTGGAGACCTTGGCGGAATCTGAGAATTGGTGGGAGATGGGCTACGAGGGGCGTAATAATCACCCATACCACGCAAAGAAGACCTTGACAGTCGGCCGGGGGGCGACGTCCTTCGAGAGGGCGGAGACCGTGGCCGATGTGAGGGCGATGACCTTTGAGGGGGAGGGGACCGTGACCGTGACCAACGAGAAGGTGATGACCGTCGATATGGTGTTGGCCGTCGGGATGGCGATGATAGACGAGAGAGCTCTGATGGTCTGTAGGTATCGGCCACAAGTGTGTGGTTAGGTCTATAGCTGTTCCAACCTCGGACTGTCTCGCGGCTGTCATGCGAGTCTCGATTCTCAGTATATCTCTCAGGATTGACCATTGCACAGTGCCTATTTGGAATGGCTGGCGACCGTGTAGTAAGACTAGAACTGGAGAGTCCAGCAGGTTTCATTGAAGTAGCCTCCGCACGGGCTCCTGGAAGAACAACTGGAGGTAAGATTGAGATAGTAGAGGCCGAAGGACCGGTAGGCCAGTCGGTATTGGCCTGTGGTGTGGGGCGGGGATAAGCAGCTGGTGAGGGCGCAATAAGGGCAGATGTCGACCGCCCAGCGGGATTTATCGAAGGAGCCTCACCTGGCGGCGAGAAAGTCGAGACAGTAGAATCTACAGAATCGGCAAGCTGGGGGAGGTTGGCCTGTAGAAGGGGCTTTGATTGGGTACCTGGCGAGGAAATAGAAGTAGTGGAATCTACAGGACCAACAGATCTCACTAGACTCGACGGTGCACTGGGGCCAGACAACACAGCCGACGAAGAAACTGACACAGTGGGGCCTAAGTTCGCAGAGAAAGGCAGTGTAGATGCCATAACTGATGAAGGGGCGGAAACAGCAGGTTTCCGTGGTTTCTCTGCAGCGTTATCGTTTATTTGACCAGTATTTGTCTTTAGGAGACCGGTCAAGCTGGCTGGATTCTTGGAAGCGGGTTGATTTTGGGCTTCCGGGGATTTGGGACTTGTTACAGATGGACCCACGACCGAGGTGGTCGTGTCTATGTTCATCCTGGGTGGGAATTCAGAAGGTTTCATCAGCTCCATCTGTGACAGATCCGGTGCTCGGTCACTCCATTTATTTTCACGGTATGCGCGCTTGGCCCCCGGGCCCGTACCAAAAGAAGACAATGTTGGCTTTGCTGCTTGTGGTGGGCTTTTTTGACGTGCTGGAGGGTTCTGCTTGGGGTTGATTTTCTTCGCGAGTTGAGAAAGTCGCAAGTTTGGAAGCTTGTTTGGAATTGCTTCTGTTTGTGCAATCAAGCTTGTTGACCCTAAAGGCTGCTTCCGATTTCTTTGCGCGCTAGATGTAGCTGATTGAAGATGTGCTCTTTGTTGCGGTGATTGGCGAGGCGCCACATTTTTTGATGGTGGTGGGGTTTCAGCTGGAACAAATAAGGCCGAAGCGGTGGAATCCACCGATAGGCGACTGGGAGCTCTGCGGGAGGCAATGCCTGCTTCGGGCTCATTGGTATCTATGATATTGGCCAGTCGAGATGATTCAGCCCGAGGGAGGCTTTTCCGTCGTGCCCTTTGTTCTCTTTTGCGCCTTCGGTCTTCTTTTCGCTTTTTTGTCTTCTTCTGCAACAAAGCCATATCCCTCTCCCATGACTTGAGATCGAAGGGTATCTCTTTGCCATCCGCGATCTTCTTTTTTTTCTCTTCCCAGCCATCTAGGGTCTCTTCCGAAGTAAACATTTCCTTAGGCTCCCAGCTGCACCTGTCCATGCTGTACCCAGCCCATTCCACCAAATACTGCGTGATGAAGACGCCTTCATCCTCAGAATCCGGTTCAACGTAGAACCTCCGTTCCGCATGGATGTCATTCACGAGGTACTCCGCTTCCTCTTCACTTTCTGCGGTAGATGCCAAAGAGTCGGCATCACCGATTCCACTTCGGTCAGAGGCATTGTTCGTTTCAGAATCAGATGCCATTGTAATCGCCTGGGAATTGAGTCAACAAATGATCCAATCCGCAGCGTTCAATGCCTTATGCCCAAAGTGTAAGCAAGATAGTGCTGGGGTTGAAACTTTGAGTTGTGGGGCTCCGGGGATATCAAGATAGAGCAAATACATACCGTATTTCATATTTATTAGATATGGTAAAGACGAAAGAGGGGGGTAAACGTGGAGATAATAACAATAGCAAAAGCAAGCGAGCAAGAACAAAGATCCAGAAAGTCAATGGTTACTGCCGATTGATAAAAGATACCGCCCGCACGTCAAAGGCTAATTCACGTGATCTCTGCGCTAAACCCCAAGGGGGTGCCACGATTAAGGAGAGACACTCGGCCCAGGTATCACTGATTATCCCCTGCTGATTCTCTATTACTTCCCGTGTGTGCTCCCCTGGTTTTCTTTCTGCCTGCTGCGAGTTCAATACTGACGTATCTGGCTTTCGCCCTCTTAAGTCCCCAAGTACACCCCTCAGTCTTAACTCGCCCGCCACGTTTACCTGTACTTTGACACCACCTTTCGAGCTTTACTAGCTCGATCACATTCAAAATGGCCAACGACGAATATGACGTGAGTTAATTTGGGACGATGAGCTCCTTCATGTTTCAGAAATTTATGCTGACGATGATACCCCCCGCAGTTTCTCTTCAAAGGTAACGTCGCCACCTTACGATGATGCCCGCCCTCGTCTTATCCACCACCCCCCTTGTGCTCCCTCCCCAAAGCTCTCAAGACTGACCGCGAAGACATTGTGGAGTGAATAGTGGTGCTTATTGGAGACTCTGGTGTTGGTAAATCTAACCTCTTGAGTCGTTTCACCCGCAACGAATTCAACCTAGACTCGAAGTCAACGATCGGTGTGGAGTTCGCGACCCGGTCCATTCAAGTCGACTCGAAGACAATCAAGGCACAAATTTGGGATACCGCTGGTCAGGAGCGCTACCGTGCGATTACTTCTGCCTACTATCGTGGCGCTGTCGGCGCCCTCCTTGTTTACGATATTAGCAAGCACCAGACCTACGAGAATGTCAACCGGTGGTTGAAGGAACTACGGGATCACGCCGATTCGAACATCGTCATCATGCTCGTTGGTAACAAGAGCGATTTGCGCCACCTGCGTGCGGTCCCCACGGACGAGGCCAAGCAGTTCGCCAGTGCGTTTCTCAACAATCGGTTTCATTGTATGGCGCTAACATTCAGTAGGCGAGAACAACCTTTCATTCATCGAGACCTCTGCGCTTGATGCCAGCAATGTCGAGCTGGCTTTCCAGAACATCCTTACAGGTTGGTTGTCGATTCCTTAGAATTTGGTATAGAATGCTAATGTTGGTAGAAATCTACCGCATCGTTTCCAGCAAAGCTCTCGATAACGGAGAGGGTGGCCAGCAGGTCCTCGACCGCCGTCCCGTTATTGACCCCAGCAAGCAAGACAGCGAGCAGAAGCCGGGCTGCTGCTAGACTACCCTTCACAGGGACGATGCACCGACTGCTACGACTCTTCTTTTGTGATGTGACATTGAGATGGTCTTGATCTGTGTTGGAGTCTGAAATTCGACGGCTACGAAGATGATACACAGGCGGGATCTGTTAGAGAAACCACACGGGAAGATAGGGGTCTACCAGAATTGATGTTACCGGCTGCCGGATTCCCCTTCTTCAGTCTTTTTTTTTTTTGTTCTTTTTCCCGTGGTCCTCAACGAAATTGATCCCCTTTTTTCTGCTCGCTCAACTGGTGTGCTTGATATGTTTCTACGATGGTGAACACAGCTTGGTTGGGCGTCTTAACATTTCGGCTGCGTGGCTTTTGTATGAAAATTCTCAAATTCGTAATTCATCCCACCCCTTTTAGTAAAATTGTACAGTGCTGTAGTCATGCAAAGCCAACAATGAGACAATCTATTAATGCCAATGCCTCGTGTTATCGAAGACCCCACGTGCTCCATAGGGCAATTTAATTTCTCCGGGCCAGGCTTTTCCAAATAGCCCCATAGTAATAATTAATGCCTGTGTCCACAGACAACAGTTGCTAGCAAAGTAGATCGTTATTTATGATTAACTGTGCGGATAGGGGGCACACATATTTCGAATATTCGCATGAGCTCATATGGAATCTACCCACATGATATGTCGTCGGAACTAGTTGTCGCCTTTTCTATGAGCAAGGGGAGGGAACCCATGTGAAACTGCAAAGAGAAATTCAAGCCCATGCACATGTATGTATTCGATAAATTTCAAAAGGTCCAAAAGCACAAATCTAGTTTAGGACAATGCCCATGTCACGACTAGCCACTGCAGATCGAAATTCTCCAACCTCGAGCCCACGTTCATTCATGACATATTCCAACGTGTCACCAAATGTTTCACCGTTGTTGCGGAACCATTCCCCTAGAGACCATACGTACTCCTCTACCTGTTCCTTCAGCAAAGCATGGTCGCGCAACCATAATATCTGACCAGGATCGAGTTTCAGCATGTCTTGTATAATATAGTAATGTGGGATCTCGTCACCCCAACCTTCATACCCTGGGTCATGAGAGAGGTCATTGCGGAACCGAGACCGGTATTTGGCTGGCGACTCGGCATAATAACTCGGGTGAGCCGTGTGGAAGTATTGTTGAATCGAGGCCTCAGGACCTTTCCGAAACAAGGGGTTGCCATGCGGAGACAGAGAAGTAATTGAAGGCGAAGGATAATTGAGGTGGATATTGAAAGAGAGTTGATGGTTGCTGTCTGGATACCGCTTTCGGAATTTGCGTTGAACAGTCCCATTACTAGGACATATGTGATTCTGGACAATATCACCCATGACGAGGCGCAAATCCTCAATCTCGGCCAGCTCTTGGGTGGACCAGTTGTGGAGCAACCGAGCGCGCTCCAACACCACATGGCGAAGACTACGAGAATGACGATCATAAACACCAGAATGGAATGCACTGTGATACAGCCATAGCCGGTATACTGCGCGGCGCAGTCGGAATCGCTCTTCGTCGGTGAGCGAGCGACGGTTCTCAAAGTCTATCTTCCACTTCTTGAATGGGTAGATGGTCTCCCATTTCCGCGCCACTAGGCCGAGCTCAATGACCTGTTTCAAAAGGGGGCCAGACATGGGCGCATGTCGGATGAGATGAGCAGGCTGACTCTCATTTTGTGTCACCACTTGAATGATATCGTCGAGGGGACCAAATTCGGTCTCCGCGGCACTGGCTAGGATATGCAGTTTGCTTGTTGAGTTGAGGACGCGGTGAAGTCGACGGCAGATGAATGATAAATTTAAGACGTCGGAGACTGAGTCGCATGAACGAAATATATGGAGCAGAAGCTCCGTTGCAAGATGATCAATTTGCATGATGGAAATATCTATGTTGTTGCTATAAAGAGTAACACCATTAGAATGACTCATACAGTGTCAACGAGTGACGACCTACCTGATGAGAGGTTGTTATTTGTGTTAAAGTAATCCGAAATAGAGAAACACGGTTAAGTTTCGAGGATTTATGTATGAATCAAGTTGAAAGGTGTTATCGTGAAGTGAAGCAATCAACACCCGTAGACTTGTCGCCGCGTACGTTGGACCTATTGGATACAGACCCCGCCGTTGGGGCTAATAGAAACAAGAGACAGTGTGAAACCAAGAGTAAACATATTAGAAGAGCAAGCTCCTTGTAGCCACATTGGGCTAGCCAACAAAAATGATGCCATGATGGATGGTGACAGGAGGCAAAGACGGACTGTGTTAGGGCGATGGCGTCGAGGGCTTTATATGGCGCTTAGCTAATGTTGCCCCTTGCGTTCACGGGGTCCAACCAACTTGTCTACTAACTAGTTATTCTGAAGGTCAAGCTCTCCAGATGGCAATGAAACAGGCAAAAGCAAGGAACAGATAGAAATAATCAACTTTTGAAATTAACCAGGATGAGACTTTGCCCCGACGCCTTAACGGACCATGATGAAAGCGTCGCATCAAATATACACATGTAGTCGAAACATCATCCCGAGGGATATCAAGTCTAGAAATAGCACGACGAAACAAAAACATAAACCCCCTATGCAAACAACTTCCTTGTGTCCAATGCATCCACCTTCCGCACAGAGTTCTCGGACAGTCCCAGATCGGAGCGCTTGGCAACCCGATCAGTCTGGCCGTCTCGGCGCTGGGAGTAACGGCCAGCCTTGCCCTGTCGGATGTCGCTACGGACTTGGTTGGGGCTGACGTACTCCTTGTTCTCGTAGATGACGGGTCCACCAAAGCTGCCTTCGAGAATGACAATGGGGGTCAGAACGAAGCGGGGGCCAATCTCGACCAGAGAAACCTCCGGCAGGGCGTTGTCCTTGCCCTTTGGTACAGGCTTGATAGTCTCCTCGCCCTCCTTCTTCTTGCCGGGCTCAGACTCACGGATCTCATAGACGCGAATCCAGATCTTGCCGTCCACTCCAAAGATACCAATGATGCGGTCGACGAATGGCTTCATGCCTCTGACACCACGCTTGGGCACACAGAAAACTCCGCGCAGCATCTCCCGAACAAGCGCACGGTATTCACTACCCGGAGCGCCCATATCCGGGCCTTGCTCGTCGAAGGAGCGATCGAACACGACCAAGCCGCGGCCGCCCTTCAGACAATTCCCTGCGAATCCAGCGCCGAGCTCGCCCATTGTGTGCAGGTTGTTCAGGTGGAATTTAATAGTGGGACCATTAGGAGGGCGTGAAAGCCAGAGGTAAAGATCCTGGCCGTTCTTCTTGGCCTCGAGGAAGAAGATAACGTTGCAGGAGTGCAGATCGGCAAGAGAGTTCAAGAGTAGGTTGTATCCGGCGGCCTTCTTTTTTGTGTCGAGCTTGGTCTCTTTGTAGGTATGGGGCAGGAGGCCACAAATATCGGACATCAGGTGTCGGTGGCTAGAGAAAAGCAAATTGTTAGATCAGTAAATCCATTCAGCGTATCTCAAGCCGCAATATTCATACCGGTAAGAAGCGCCTCTGGAGGTCAAGATAAGTACACGGGTCTTGGGCATGAATCCAGAAGCAAGCTGCTTCTTCACAACCTCAGCTGCCTCGCCATCATCGGACTCTTCCTCTTCGCTATCAGTGGTGTCGTCTTCCGCATTGAGGAGCTCCTCCATCTCGATATCCTCGTCGGACATATCCTCGGTGGGCTGTCTAGCCGACTTCTTTGAAACACTCTTGTAAACCGATGCCATGGTGACTGTTGATTGTGTCAAAATGGAATTGAAATTGATCGTGCAAAAGAAGGCCGCGATCAAAAAGTTGATGGCAGAATATTTTTTGTTTTCCACCGCCCTAAACCTCGCTGTGTCACGTGATAGGCGGGCTACCGATATATGCCATTCTTGACCGCCTTGTTTTCCTGCCAAACCTTGTGTGATAAATGCATGGTGTTTTAGATCACCTTGCTTCATAGTTTTGGAAAAATTTGATCTATTACATAGTGTTTCATACTTGCCAGCTTGTTCATCAACGGACCGAAAAAAAAAAGTCTCTCGTTGTGGCGAAATATATATCTTCCATTCCAATTCATATTGTCTAAATAGTCCAATCAATAGAACCTTAAAAAACTATTTTATATCAAGACCTTCATAACGTTGAAGGCCAAACGCAAAGCATAGGTACAGTAAGTGCAAACCTACTGCATTAACCCAATATTGGACTTTAATTTAGAAAATTCAGTCAAGTAAAGAGTACGTCAATATGACGGAAAGTTCAACGCTCTTTGCAGGTCTGCAAAGCCCTCTTGGGTGATCTTCAAGCCGGCAAGAAGATTTGCAAATTCTAACCTCTTTCGGAAATCCCAGTCGTGACTCCGATAGACGAGACCGTACAGCAAGCCAGCATTAAATGTATCTCCTGCCCCGATAGTACTATAGACTATTAGTATGGTCTAATTTGTCGTGTAGTACATTGGAACAATCAAAACTCACTCGGCGACCCCCACTTCTTCAGTATGCGCCGGGACATGAGCAAACTTGCCAGTCTTTGGTTCAAGTGCTGCAGCCCCGTCATGGCCCCAAGTACAGCACAGCAAGGCTCTATAAACGATAGGTTAGATTATTTATCCGGGGACTTGGACAGTAAAACCTACGCTCGGCTTATCTTCAATGATTGATCCCGTAAGCAATCCTCAGCGGATGTATATCCATTGTTCTGCCCTTATATTAGATGTGCTTGGAAAAAGCTGAAAATCAAATCTTACTTGGGCCCAGCCCTTCGAGTAGATAACAACATCTGCCGCATCTGCAAGCTCCTGCAGGCCTGACCGGCCCGGCTTTTCCACCTCAACACTGATTTCAGCCTCTGGGAAATGCTCCCGGATATAATGAATACATTTTAATGTTACATCTGGTGCACGACCCTGAGTCTAAGTTAGCTTGATTTGTGACCCGCTCAGCACCCCAATATTTAACGCACCTCAAAATGAAACCAGGGCCGATCAGTTACGGTACGAAGGGGCTCAATGGCAGTCGCGAACTCAATGCAGGTCATTTCAGGTAGTTCGTTGTAATTGACGATCGTCCTACTACCGGTCGCCTGGCTCATAATTATGTAACTAGAAGCTGGCTCACTGAATCTCTCTCGGTAAATGCAGCTATCTAGCCGAACCATATCCCCTAAGCTTGATTGTATTTCTCGAGACGCCAACGATGTTTTGGAGGGAAGGATTGTGATGAGATTCAGGGATGATTCGGCACTCGACGGCCTATATTGTAACAACTGGCCGAGAACCTCGAGAGTGTTTGGGCAGTTCCCGCCACGCCGGCGACTGATTCTGGACGCACGAAGCTTCTCGTCTTCACCAGGGTAATGGGGTGCTCTGAGAAGGCATGTGAATACCAGACTCCAAATGCAAGCAACTTCGAGACATAGCAGAAATAACTCACGTTAGAATTGTGTCAAGGTAGCACGCCCCTATAGCTACTAAAGTCATGATTATGATTTGGCCAGAATCTTTCTCCGCTTTTCGAAAGAACCAGGGTTGATATTCGTGTGGATTGACCGTCTATTTAATCAATGCTGTTGATCGAGTCAACGACACTGGCGGCTTTCCAAGACTAGCTAGGTAGGTCCACGGCAGGTCCCCGTGGACGGGTTTGGGGATGAATTAGTCAGCGCATCGCTAGGCCGGGCGGTGTATATGCCTTTCCCTACAATACGTTTGTCTTGGCATCAAAAAGCCTTTCGAAGTTTTGTAGTACCAAACACGATCCACAATAAGTCATTCTACTATCTAAATGATCTACAGCTATAGTACATACGACCTATCTCGATGCAGTCAGTCTCTAGAATGGAACTCTGGCTATTCATCCTCTTATTGCCACTGAGAAGATTAGTCCCTCGATATGAGTCGGACTAGGGTAATAACCATCACGTGATTAATATGTGAAACGCACGTACCCAGTATTGCCCATTGCGTACCTTAATACAACGCCTCTTTTCGCATGCATCCAAGAAGCCATAAGGGATGAACGATTCTCTTTTAATCTCTTTTTGGACCGTGAATACTAACATTCATTGACGTATCTCGCTCAAAGCATAGGTATAAATAAGCAGGCGGGATACTACAGGATGAAATTTGGGTTGGACAAGTCAAACTAAGTAGCATGCAATTGGGTCTTGACACACATCCTATTGTCTCTTATATTTGTAAAATTCAAAGCAAGCTTTGATGTGGCTGGCAAGCACTCTGCATATTACAATCATCTTTTGATCCTATACCAGTTATATAGCCGATCTAAACTGTTCATGACTCCTAGTGTCCTCACAACTTCATTTTTATCATTCTGTCACCGAGACTATCTTTTCAGCCATGGGCCAGCGGAACAAAGTCCTAGAGACCGATACTCCTACTGCAAAATTCCTTTACACAATCATCAAGCAATTGGACCTGAAGTCGGTCAGTGTATTGCCCAACCATTAACTGATGATCTAACCTTACTTGAGTATGATAGATCGATTGGAATCGGGTAGCCTCCGATGTCGAAGTCTCCAATGGTCATGCTGCTCGTATGCGGTATTCCCGCTTCCGACAACAGATGGAAGGAACCACCGGAGCAAACAAACCAAAGCGAAAGAGCAAGAAGGCAAAGACCATGGAACCCCCTCCTGAGATGCAAGGACTATTCCCAATGGCTCCACCGCTCATGATACCAACTATGGAATCGATCAATTCTTCTCTTCCAGGGAACCCCTTTGTAAAGAGCGAGCCGGGCACTGAAGGTAACCCAAACTTACAGAGCCTTACGCAACATTCTCCGCAGTTCATGTCGGAGACTAGCACCGAAGGACAGTATTATTTCCCTCAAGATTTCGCCTCAATGCGGTTCCAACTGGCGTCAAGCATACCGTCTAGGATACCATCGCTCAGTCCAACATCATCATCCTCCTTCATGGATCCATACCAGTTTCCGACAACGTCGGCCAGTTACCCTTATTCATCAGCCAGCACTCAATCCGGCTTTGACTTGCGGGAGTTTGACCAACTGCCTTATTTCGCCAATTATGCCCCATGCATTAGCTGGGAACCACACCCTCCTTCTCGCCAGGAACACCCGACTGTAAAAGTCGAAGAAGAACAGCAGACTGAAGAGGGGATACTGAGTGCAGGGAGTCAGGAAGATCAGCCTGCTGTTATCAAAGTTGAAAATATTCAAGATTGATCAGGTTATGTTGGAGAGTGGAAAGGCCTCGTTCATATGTTCATTACCTAGTACCCTTTGTTATTAAAATCAAGTATGTTGATTTAGTCTCAGTGTTCTTCCTCATTTGGCGGCGGAGTGCGTGCCTGAATTGTGTTTACAGAACGATCTATGATAAAGCCTTAAGTAGGGGAATGTATTATTTTAGCAATTTCCGTTCTCCACGCACAGCTAGCTGTATAAACCGACCTGTAATCCACCAACTCATGGGAGATAGATATAAAAGCATATAAGAGTTGACTGTGACTGGTGCTTTGCTGAAGCATCTTGCCCCTATCACTCTATAGGGCTGTGAGTCTCACTTTCCTCACACTATCCATTCAGGAGAATTCTTATAAGAAAAGGCAAGCTTGTAGTTTTGATTAAAGGTACAACGTAAGCTTATATCACCATGGCAGCCTGATAAATCGCTACGCTTTTTTTTCCCACTGGTAAATTCTAACAGAATGTATGATTATACCTTGCGAAAAGAAGAACCTCGGAGTGTCCTTACGCATCACATCCTGAATATCATCCTTAGCCAAATGAATCCCATTTATAGACCGATTTCGTTATGGAGCCACATAAGCGGCCAAATATTATTGTAGACTCGAGCATAAATTGAGTCCTGGAGGGCCTCGGCATCTGGGCGAACAACGCGCGCTGAACAACGCGCGTTAAGCAGTCATGCCGTCTTCTGGAAGATTTAACCCTTGTAGTGGTTATCTCTCCACCTAATATTTTGTTTATTCTCACAGGCGTCTACTATTCTTCAAGGAGGTTAGAAATTTCCTTCTAAAGTCGCCGAAGCAATGTCTTCTTACAAGAACGACCCCCCGGACCAGGAATATCTGGATTCGATCAAGAAACATACCGACAAAGAAACGAACAAGGTACGATGCACCGAGAACCTCTGAGAGACTTTGGCTTGAATCCACGATCCAAATACTAAGACTCGAGTCGTAGGTCAATCTAGCACTCGTGGCCAAGGACTTCGGTTATGCTAGTGGAAAGTCGTTCCAGAAGAAATATGCCAAGCTGAAGAAAGCACACAATCTGACCAACGGTCACATCTATGGCGATTACAGGGTAAGCCAAGCCGGCTTCTATTCATCCAAATAGCATTGAAACTAATTTAGTCGAATAGCCAGGAAACTCTTCCACTAAGGCAGCTACCACCGAGGCGGCCACCACTGAGGTGGTTACCACTGATGCGATTACCACTGATGCGGCTACCACTGAGGCAGCTACCACTGATGCGATTACCACTGATACGGCTACCACTGAGGCAGCTACCACTGATGCGATTACCACTGATGCGGCTACCACTGATGCGGCTACCACTGATGCGGCTACCACCGAGATAACTCGGGCTTCCCCGAAGGAGAGCATCCAGGACCCCAAGGACACCTTGACCCCCGAGGTCAAGCAGTACCTCAGAAGTTTCCTGGAACCCTGGGCCAAGCTCCTGGCGGAAGAAGAGGATGCAAAGGAACGTGATGCTACGAAGAAGGATAAAGTTTCGAAGAGGAATGAGAGGAGCTGAGTTTCACCTGCAAAAACTTAGTGGCAGAGGTCTTCGGCGTGCGAAAATTCTACGGTGAAGCTAGAGGATAACCACCCAGAAGATGATAGCCTCCAATTGAATATGAACTCTACTTCAAAGGAAGATATCTCTTGTAGGGGGCGTCACCAGGAGCATCGGAATGGTTGTCTTTAGATCTCTACCCAGTGGCTCCCCTGACAATAACATACCGAGTAACCTCATGCAGTAGATATGGAACTAGTTAGTATCCATGCTACTAAGTTGGAATGTGGAGAATTGAAGTTCACAGTATATTAAGTTGCTAGCTAGATAGCATTCAAACCAGCGAACAGCTAAGACTGCGAACTAACGAGTATTCAAAAAACTGGACTCCCCAAGAAAAGATATGCGCGGACTCGATGTGTCAATGACCAAGAGCTCAACGCTGTGGATACGGGGGAGGACAGTAGATCAAGCTCCAATGTGTATCTTTGCTAGGCAATGATATCATTCGAGTCTGCGGCAATGACGACGGGGCCAATATCCTCGGCCGTGACGAACTCCCAGGAACGGTCTCCAGGGATTTCGGGATACTTGTCAGAGCACTCGAACTCTTTGGCATTCTTCACAATACTGAAGTAGTATTTTCTGCTGCTGATTGTCAATAACTGCAATGATACTCGCAGCATGGCTGAAGAGCTTACGCCGCTTCGGGGGTCATATTGACGCTGATGACGAGCGAGACATTGTCCCAATTCATCTGTAATAGCCAGTAACATTAGCAGGTCATATTGGATGGTAGTGATTATTGTTGAAATTGGGGTCTGCGTACCTTGCCCTTCTGAGAATTTTGCACGCAGGTCAGAAGGAAGGCAATGGCCTGCTCCCCGGGCGTATTGACTAAAGTCATTCTAGCAGGATGATGAGACTGATTTGGCATGCGAAGATTGACGCAGTGAAGGATGAGACGGTAGAAGTTGGATAGCTGGGATGTAAGAAGAGCGATGTAGTCAAGGATCGTTAGTTGCTTTGTTATACCATTAAACGCGTTTAACTTGACTCGCTCTGAGCTAACAGATGCCGGCTTCTCCTTCAGGTAACAACGCTCATTTTGCCTACAGCCTTAGCCTAAGATAGAAAACATGTTCAAGTACTATAAATGATGACATTTGGCTAGAGTAGCTTCATTAAACCATTAAACAGAGTGACGGAAGCCTCTGCTGTAAGGATACGAAGTCAAAAATGGTCAAACCAACACACTCAAAATTCCCATCTATAGCTCCCCCATCTATTTCGCCTGGGGTATTGCGCAAAATAATCTCAACCCAGCCCGAAAGTAGGGGAAGGGTCAATGAATTTCATTCATCAAGTGAAAGCAAACAGTAGGATTGGTTTTATCAAAGGGGTATCCTATCGAATATACACGAACAATGGCTGCAAAGTGCATATTACAAGTTGGCAAAAAAAAAAAAAAAAAAAAAAGATGCTAAGATGTTGATATAAATCAAAGGGATATAGGGATATAGTCGGTTGACAAGCGTTATATGTCTGCCATGACTGACTCCACTATCTTTCGTTTGTATTGCGACAAAGCCTGGTCCTTTTTCTGCATCTGGGCGCGGAGTCTTGTGTAACGCTGCTTCCATGTTGCCTCGGAAACAGGCTGGTTAGGATCATCATCGTCAGAATCCAGCTCCACTGTCTTATCGTTGTCAATTATCTCATGACTCCGACCCATAATCGCACTTGCGTGATCAGATGTACCCGTCCCTCCTATACTAGGATTGACATTTGAAAGCGTGATTTCCATCGAAAACTGGTTTGAAGTTTTGTACTCATGAGAGATGGTATAATGAACCCCATTAAATGATTCTTTAGAGGCAGGGGCACCCCTATTCCCATCGTTGTTTGGGATGGCACGTTCAACCTTGATAACCATTGACTCTGGAGCAGTGCCTGCGAGTCCGAAATGATGACCAATGCCAAGGTGGAAGGCCAGTAGTAGCGAAGGAGAGCCAAGTTGGAACTGTGAATATAATGAAGACAGATTGATCACCATGGCTGAAGCTAGGGCACCCGCCTCGTTGGGAGAGAGGGTCGCCGCCCGCCCTGTCAGCCTAGCACGCAGAAGCTCCGCAGAAAGTGCATGAACAATGTCATCGACGGAGGGATTCGGGGCAGTGGCCGTATTGCTTTGCCCGCTGGAGGAAGATGTTTGAGTAGTGATACCATTCTTTGGAGTATCTGTGGTGGGATATTGGCGGGAACCATTGGGCCCTTCAGACTCGGCAATGACAGCACCATTCACTCCATTGACTACTAGTCTTGGTGGAGTGGCAAGTCGAACCGGCGCTCCTGAATGTTGAGGAACTTGCAATTGAAGTTTATTGGGCCTCCCCTGAGAGATGGATGTTGGATGTTGATTGTGAGGTTGGGTCTGAAATATTTGGGGCGGATTTCTGTCAATGGCAAGTGGGAGTGCCTGAGTATTAGGATTGGGTGCTTGTGACGACTCCCGACTAGGATTGACCTGGAAGGTAGAAAAAGAACCCGATGATGACCCTCTATTTGGTGGTCTTCCTCGGCCTTTCCCAGCTGACAAGCCGTTGCTGTTCGGCCAAGCAGATGAAACTGCAGGGCCATGTCGTCTCCTAGAACGGCTTTTCTCGCCGGTTGACGGAGTGACTGCTGACCGTGGTTCCGCAGATATGAGGACATCTGATGGTAGATGACTCCGGGGAATAATAGCAGACTGTGGATAATTAGCAGGAGACGCATCCCGTTCAGGAAGTCTCCAGCGTGTATCTTGACTTTGCTGATCCGGCCCGGAACCATTATGAAACGACGAATTCGCCGCTATCCAGGGGTCATTTGGTTCCATATCATCAGGGAATGCACTGAATGGTATAGCACTCTGTGGGAATGTCACGGAGTGGGACTGAAAGCTACCCTGTTGTAGGGCGCCAACAGATGTATCCAACTGGGGCCGCTTGATTGCTCTCTCTTCCTCAGTGTACCTATCCTCAACCCTTTTCCGTCCGCGCTTCGGCTTCCATTGTGGCACAAGCGCCCTGAGTGCGAGATCTTCTTCCAATAACACACCATCGCGGGATTCGCTGACAAAAGGACCAGATGGTGGGAGCTGTGTATAGTAAGAATGGGGCAACCCCATACAATATTCAAAGAAAGCATCGATATGCATAGCACGCATCCAACGCTGGGCGAAATTAGCAAAACGAAATATGAGTCGGAGAATTTGTGACGGACGTACCTTGAGCCGAACAGTGTACTGTTGCACCTTCTGGGTGCTTTGTTTCTTTTCAATGCACGGTGGTTCGACACCCAATTCAATTGCTAGTTGAATCCATGTCTTCAACTCTTCATTTTGCAACCGCCTTCGAATGAGTCCGAATAGGGTAAAGATGTTGAAGCTTTTCCCATCACTCCGAGGGAGACACCGGAAGGTCTTTCGCAGATCTGACGTGTCAACCGAGGATGGAACATTAGGATTGCAGTACAAGATAAAGGAGACATAGGCATCATCAATCGTCTCGTCAGTGATATCCCGTGACGGAAGAACCCGGGAATCTGCGTGATCGGCAGGGTCTTTCATCGGCTGATGGCGATGAGGATCAAAAACTGGGGGAGACATGGAAGTCCCGGAGCGATTGGCTGATGATGGGAGTATAGCAGAACGAGTGCCCCTCGGGGAAGACTGTAAGCTCCGGGGGGTTTCTCTTCGCTGCAAGGGAGGCGATTTGCTGATATCTATTTGGCTACGAGAACTTCCCAAGGAGGAAGCACTCTGCAACGTCGATTCCAAGGTCGGAGGATATCGCGCATATTGTTGAATGACCATTTGCGGTCCTCTGAGCTCACCACGGTTCGGGCGATCGGTGGAGTCCATCATAACAGGAAATGATGTTTCCATTTGAAAATTGGCGATTCGGAGTGACAGAACTCTATATTTAATTGTAGAACAGAGCTAGAGATGCGATGCAGACAAACAATCATGCGGATCTTAGGTCGCATAGGCAAGTCGTCATTATCGTCAAATCAGCAGCCGCGGCATAGATGTAGGCTATCTTCAACTCAATCTGTTCGGTGTATGAATACAAAGAAAAATGGAAGGAAAACAGATTCTGAAAAGCCATGCGCCGATGGTGTAGGGTTCCAGGAGGTTTCCCCTCGAGGTGGCTGGAAGCGCCCATCTTTAAAGCTCAAGCTGAGAATCTATTTTGGGGCCATCTAGTGTTCCCCAATGAGGACTAGTGTCATGGCTGAGGGCGGGGTTCCTGCCTCGTTATCACGTGTGGGCTAATCTAATTAGGGTTAGTGTCAATCAGTACCTCCCAGGTTTTATCGATAAGCTTGTCGTCTTGGCATTCTTGGCCTCTTCGACCTCATCCGTCAAAGAAACCGGAGTCACCCGGACCATCACAATTGTGAATTTGAACGACGATAATTGCAGAGTTACCGCCTCCACAAGCCCAGTGACACGTATTTGCTGCTCACATTGTTGCGCGCGCGACGTCGTGCGTACAATGTAGCCCGGGTCTCTGCTACCCACTCTCTTATCCTAGCGCGGTCTTATCCGTCATGGCGCCCTCGGGTTCACGCTTAAGGTCCACTCGCCCTATGCGGTCCAGCCGCACAAAGGTGCAGACCTATCACGAGGAAAGCTCTTCTCAAGATGAATCAACACGTTTGCGTGGCTCGAGGCGTGCCTCATTATCTCTTCGGTCGCGCAGTACAACTCGAATGCCAAAGTCCTATCGTGAAGATTCGACCGATGCTAGCTTTGATGGAGGTGTGGAAGACCAAGAGTCTGATACATTGGTAGCTGCACCGATCGACACACCAAATCTTGAAGCCGAATCTGCGACTCCTCGCCTTTCCAAATCCCAACGTCCTCGGCGCGCTGCAGCCACCCCGAAGCCAAAGCAGACTAAGCGATCGAAACCCAGCAATCAAGTTGGGAGAGTTTTGCACAAACGTGCCAAAACAGATGGGGATAACCCGATCTTCCTAGGATCCGGTGTCATTCCTCCTTGGCAAACTCTTCCCTACCAAATCCTTCTTGACATTTTTTTGCGCGCGTCGCATCCATTACTCGACGAAAGCCGTTCAGCCCGAAACGACTCTGTCAAGTGGCTAGTCAATGTCGCTCTTCTGTGTCGAAGCTTTCAAGAGCCTGCGCTCGCCGCACTCTATTACTGTCCCCCTCTCCTTCCTGCCTACAAGAGCCATGTGCTCCTCTCTTTGTTGGCACGCCCACAAGAGTCCCTCTCAATGAACTACTCTAGCAAGATCAAACATCTTCATGTTGAGGTTGAACCAGTGCTCATCTATAAAAGTGGACCCTACGGTTACTTCGACCTTGCTCAGTTGATTGAAAAGACGCCTCGTTTACAGTCGGTACGACTGTATCACAAAGATGATTACACAGTGGGAATACCTCCATGGCACATTGTTCAATCAAAGTGGACTTATCTTAGACCTGTTTTTTCCGCCATCGAGAACTGTGGCATTGCCCTTCGTAGCTGGGACTGGAACAGCCGCTTTCTAGAAACTGATGACCTGGTCAAATTGATGGTGGAAATGCACTCGCAGCGCGCCTTTCAAGGTCTCAGGGAGCTGAAGTTGCTCCACTTCGATAATTCCGATGAAGAAACGTCCGCCGCCAAAGAGGCTGGCCTCCTTGAAGCTCTTGACATGCTTCCAGAGCTTCAGCGACTGGATTTTATAGAAAGCTCATTGGTTAGCGGGGAAATTCTGGCCAGTCTACCAAATACCCTCCATTCGCTCACCCTGAACAACTGTGATCGATTGTGGTCATCAGATCTCACAACCTACATGTCCTTACACGGCAGAAATCTCCGAGAGCTGAGTCTAAGCCACAATCGCCACCTCAACATGTCTTTCATCCAGACTTTGGGTCAGTGCTGTGAGAATCTCGAAGTTTTCAAAATGGACCTTTCTATGCACGATGCGTCCAGTTACCATGACGTTGAGCCCCACTTCGAAAATCTACTTGTTCAAACCGAAGTTCCGACATGGCCAGTGAAGCTCCAAGAAATCGAGCTCACCCAGCTACGCAAATGGGATGACGCTACTGCAGAGGTATTTTTCACTTCGTTAGTGAATGCGGCTCCGCAACTTCGTGATCTACGTCGATTGGTCATCAGTGCAATCCTGAAGATTGGCTGGCGTGACCGTGCCACTTTTCGTGAGCGATGGATCGGCCTGCTCGAAAAAGTTTTCCTCCGACGAAGCAGGCCACCAGATCCTAACCTCCGCTCCCTCCGGAAGCGCTCGCTCAAGCCGACCACACTCATCACAAGGAATGACCCGGGTGAACTTGGTGCGGGAATTGATGATTCACGACCATCCACGGCTGACAGTGGACCATCAACTTCCTCCAAACGCCAAAGCACTCGACTGGCACATCAAAAGTCAAATGAAACCGACGATACTGCCGGTGGCTCTTCATTAGTGGGGACTCCGCAGCCCGAAGCCGGGAAGATACAGGGGATGTGTGATATTGTGAACATTCGGATCGACAACCAGCGACCAACTGAGTTGCAATTCAACGAAAATGATTTCCTTGACGATGAACTCAGTGGTGACGAGGATTGGGCTGGCGATGACTTCTAACCAGTCCTAGGATGATTGGGGTAATAAGCTATGGCGATTTCCCAACAGCAGTATTATTTTGTATTTATAACCATGTCGTCTATCGTTGCTCTATGATGCGCCTGGATGGATAGGTTCTCCTTCTTTTTATGCCGATATGATTCTAGGGTCTGGCGCTGGAGTTTCTTATTCACCTGGGAGGGGGATAAACAGGAGCCACTCTTGGATATTATCTTATAATTAATCATAACGTTTTATGAGAAACGATTTAGTGCGGAATATTCCATATTTCATGATGTTATTGCTTGATGTGTACTTTATTTGCATGGTGAAGGACTAGGAGCACCCTCTGCCATTAAACTACGTACTTGAGGTATGATAGCACAGTTTAAATAATATATCACTACATATAGCTGCGCTAATCCTATTCTCGATGCAAGAAGTACGTTTGATCTCCAATCAGCACGTCAATACTGAAGACTAAGCATGGTATATATATGTAACATGGAGACTAAATACAGCGTATGGTACAGACTAGAGAGGCTGTGCGAATGCCGAACAGCCTTGCAACTGGGACCTGTGACTCAGCCGATTCAACCGGGGCTATTCATGGATAGGGTTTGGCCCAATGCATGTTTACTGTGTAAGGTGCATAAACGTAGACGTGATCACATTATTCCAAAGTGCTCCCGCTGTCTAAGGTACATAAAAGATGTTCAGAATACCGAGTGAAACGGCTAAGGGCCATGATTGGACCGCAAATTGTGACTGACAAGGATTGCCTGTAGAATAAGAACCAGTCGTACCACCGAGCGGCGAGCCCGCAGCCTCCAGTCATTGTCCCTGGTGATACTGAAGCGGACACCTATGGGGTCCAACTAATGGATTTGGCTCCATCAGCACAGACAGAAGTGGGAGTGGCGTTCGAACCTCTTATTAGGTATCTTTCCTAAACGTCGCACCTAAGGCATATTCGATTTGGTTGAGGACTTCCAGTTCAATCATGGTTAGTATATATAGTAGGCTATCATGTTAATAGTTAGAGAGATGTTCCCGTCCTAATGGGTGGCAGCTTCTTCTTCCAATCTTTTCTAAGGCCATATAGAACCCCTCTGTTCATCTTCTTGTTCTCGATTAGGAAGCTGTAGCAAGGCATGTCAAGCATTGTATGCCCTGCAATTGGCATTTTAACCACCTACGCTGTGGACACAGTCGTTCGTCCTTCATGGATAATTGACACATTCACAGTAGTGTCCATGTAGTTCGGTAATTTCAATGGAGCCATGATTTCCAACACAGTTGAGGATCCCTTGGATGAAACTAGAGGGGGCATTTAGGACTATTTATCCCCTTGGTGGGATTATCAGAGAAATCCAACTCAAGTGGCTCGATCATAGAGTAGAGATGATTATTCATTGTTCACAACGGAACCTCAAAAGATATTTCAAATCAAACCGTATCCGATGAGTGAAGGTACTTGAAGATTACAAATGTCCGATTAGAATAAGTCTACTGATTTAAAAACAGTAGTTAGTTCGATGAAAGGTTTTATGTGTAGATCCAGGTCTCAGATGTAAAGGACTACACACGTCCACTTGGATATGACTTCATCTATCGCGGCTGTACGTGCGGGGTGGAGACAGACTTCAACCTTGGGACCTTAGAAGCTTGTCAGTGACCCACACCTGATCCACACAAGCTTAGGTATGGTATATGGTAGTCCAATTTGTCTTCAAGACGAGCATATCAGTTCTTTCCCGCTGCTGTTTGATCTTTTTTTTTTTTTTTTCTTTTTTTTTCATTTCTGAATTGCTTTCTATTTGACCTTGCGTTGAGAAAAAATTGGAAGGAGAAGCTGCCACCTACTAGTAAGCAATATCTCTCTAAAGTGTGATGATAACCTACTACGTATACTAACTGTGATCGAACTGGAATTCCTTAACCAAATCAAATCTGCCAAGGCAGTTGCGCACGTTGAGCAAGATGTTATCCACCAACCTCGCAACGCTAATGCCCCTTTTGAATCGACTAACGCTATCATCTGGCCCCACCACCGGATGAACCATACAGGAGATCCATCCCTCTTCCCTGCATCCATGGACTTAGTCGTCAGCCCCGGCTTCAAGCCTGACAAAACGACGTTTCCGAGCTATCCTTCTGGTTACTGGTGATGCTTTCATTGGCCGTAACCTTGTTGAGCTCGATTTTAGTGATGCAATGACTATTGGTGGTATTTTAGTTATCGACTTCTTCCAAGGGGACTTGAAGATTTTTGAAGGATCTTGCTGCGGCTATTGACGGGGGTGTAGACGGAAGTATATAGTCATGAGTCCGGAGGTCAAGTCATTGTGGTTACTATCCATTGTGGTACACATATCACAGTATATAGCGACCGTAGATTGGTCCTATTAGGCGAATTTTACCCGCTGCTTTCCTGTTGGCTTTATTAATTCATATCATAGGTGCATCACAACATAGCAGTTGGCGGTGTTGATTGGGGTCCGTGCACGACGATCAAAGGCCAAGCCCCACAAGATTGTCTTATCGGCGAGTCTCGTCGAACCTCACATCTGTTTATTCTTCCCCTCTTTTCCATGTATATTTGCATTTGATCCGTTCAATCCAGAATTTGGATGTCTTGTACTTTTCCTTTTGACATTTTGACATCGGCTGGATCGTGTTAGGTCCGAGATGGCGCCTGAGGCCCCTGCGGACACTGCCGGCCCATCCTCCCCACCACCTCAACTTCCGGAAGGCTGGTAAGTCAACCCCGAAGACCAAAGAACCTACTGTATTCTAACAGTGGTATCTGATAGGCTACCTCAATGGGAAGGTGTCGGGCGGAAATGGTATTACGTACAGCGGACGACCGGGAAATCGCAATGGGAGATTCCAACCGAGCCGATCGTCCTGACCCCATCAACGACGCCGATTCCGATCGGGGCAGGCCCATCACGGGAGCCAACTTCGCATCCGACAAGCGGCAACACTCGAGAGGTGGAGTCCACGGACGCAATGGCAGGCGGGACGTACTCCGCGGCGGACAATGCGAGAATTTCCGTAGGGAATCGCGCTCATTATGTCTGCGTAAGCATTGCAAGAATGGCACTGATAATGGGATAGAGCTCCCTTGACTCCCAGTTATATGGGCAGTCGGATAATCCAACTTACGGGTCTTCCGGGGTACCGGGTTGGTATTCGAACCAAACGGGTCAACGCTTGCCCGGCGGATATGAGCAGCTGGCTGCAAACGCAGCCGGATATGGCCCGGTATGTTTAAATGTTCCATTCTCCGATATACTGATTAGTTGCGGTGCTTATTTCTTTCTAGAATTCGTTGCAGCAGAGCCATGCTGGGCAGATGAATGGTGTTCAGCCGGCATTTTATGGGAGCCGGGGATACCCAGGTTATCAGATCACTGGTCCACACCATATGGGCCAAAGTATCTCATCAGTGTGGGGTAATAATCCAGGTACTTACCAGGGACACCCAGAAGGTTATAACATGACACAACATACACAATCCTTTCAGGGATTCTCTGCTGATCCTGCGGGATTGCATGGCCACCAGCCACCAGCATCGTGGACAACAAGCAGCAACTCACAAGAGCAAATGGCAAGGTCAATAGATGGAGCTCCCGATTCCCAGCCACAGTGGCAATTAGAATCACAACAAGGCCATTCGAATGCCTCTGGTGAGGGTGTCCCGATGAACTTACGCCCATCCACCATGCCTAAGCCCTTCTTTGGGTCTTACTCATCCAACCAGCATGTGGAACCGTCTTCAGGAGAATTTGCTCGCCGTGCCTCGAATGCCTCTCTTGTCCAGGAAGGGCAGCCCTACCAAACTTCCGCGGAGAACTTCTCCAACAATTTACCGCACTCCATGGTTGACCAAGGTAGATTCGGACAAGGCCAGCCGGACCCACGTTTCCATTCGCAACATCCCCCCGCAGACCCTGCTCTACAGGGATTTTCACCGCTGCAACATGTACAGAGTCAATATCAACAGCAGCACATGATACGGAAACAGTCAGGATCACACCAAGCAAATCTTTCCCAAGGCCATCAGCAATATCACACCCCAATGGCGCAAGCGAATTTCAACCAATACGTTTCGCAGCATCAGCATCAATTTGGTCCTAACGGTGGGCCAACGGTCTTCCCTGAAACAGTGCATATTCATCAAGTTCCTTACCAGCAGTCAAGTCATTACCTCGAACATGTCAAAAGTTCACCGGAGGAAACAGGAAGAGGTTCGGAGTCGCACTTCGTTAGTGGGCCGTGGACGTCGACACCGCCTTCTGCTGGACAGTTGTAGGCATCGATTGTTTTTTATGTTCATCGTTATGGTAAACTGGAACTTAGTGTATGTTTTCTTTTTTGAGCGGCTTCTATGAACATTCTTATCTTTTTCGCTGTTTGTGTTTCAGTATAGATTCCCGGGTCGATAATTTGTTATTTCAATTGAGTTGTGCTAAAGAACATGGTTTAACTACCACAAATTGCTGCCCCGAACGCATTACGGCTACAATACACACAAATTCAGGTATTGGGGGATAGGGAAATCTGAATGTGCGAGTAGAACGACGGATAGAAAATCAGAACATTATATCAACCACCTGCTACCACGTCAGGACAGAAATGCAGCAGCATGAGGTTTGGGTCACAAATTTCATCTCAATATTCCAGTCAATCTCATCAATCTCACATGGCCATTGGTGCTCACGTGGATCAAACCCACAAACAACAAGGGACAATGACTTTCGATGTTCTGTCATCCCTCTCCCACTTCCCCTTCTTTTTATAACCTCACCATTATCTTCAGGCCCCCAAATCATCCCTCTTCAACCCACGAACATTTTGTTATCACAATGGCTAGTATCTGGAGTCATGAGAGAGACAAGCAGGTAAGCTTTCTCATTTTACGGGGATAGTAGCAACATCCCCCGGGCTGCTGGTTCCTGTGCTGTTCTCACCTTAATTGACCCTTTGTTGCTCATACTGGTATGGTTTTGGTGTCAATGACTGATGATCAGTAGTTGCTTGTGGCCATCCTGGCCGTCCATTCTCCGCTGGACTGTTCTGCGATTGCTAAAGCGATGGGACAGGGTGAGTACATGAGGGCTTTATACTCATGCTATCACGTCTATAATTCCTAACTCCTATCATTTCCCCCACGAGCCCCTTTATCCTATTTAATTATCAAAATAACTTATCTAACGAGGTATAGGCGATAGCACTGCAGCCGTGAGACAGCATCTCTACACTCTGAAAGCCCGTCATGAGGGAACCTCTGCGAAATCTCCTACCAAGGACAATACCGACAACCCCACCGGCCGTGGCCGCAAGTCTACCAAAACCACCGCCAAGCGCAAGACTGCGTCGGTCACCCAGTCTGAAAAAGACACCGTTGCTGAGAGCCAGGATGAGCATGGGGATGAATCCGCCTTCAGTTCTACTAAGTAGCGCAAGCTCTAGGAGCTTCCCCTTAGATGACATCGGTTGGGAGAGAATGACGATGATCCAGACATTTATGGAGGGATTGCTTCGGCATAATGAGGGGTGAGACTTTGGCCTTTAGTCTATGTCTCTCGGGTAGTACTTTGTTATCTACATGCTATTCTTGATTTCGAAGACAGCAAATCGTTTATGAATATTCATTTCTGAAAAGAAGGTATATCCTTTTAAGCTCTCCCAAGCCGTCTTAGTATGGAATGGGCTGTGTCTCTACATAATATCCGAGGGTTACTGGGTATGCTGCTGCGTTACGAATTGCGGAAGGAGGAAGGACATTTGGACATGCTTTTATCAGACGACATATTCCCTCAATTCATTTAACGAAAATATAAATGGAAATATCTTGGCTAGTAAGCTTGTTTTGCTGGTCAGACAATATCTTCTTTTACCTCTGCTCTCAACGTCTGGTGCGTTCTTTGGGACCTCTGAGTGGCTGTTGTAATCTTATACCACATTGGATGTGGCAAGCCCCCATTGTATTCGCTCATAATCATAGAAAGAGCTTTGCGGTTAGTTTTAGTGCCTTGCTTTCCTAAGGTCTAGAGACAATGTAATCTCCTACACCTGCTTTCTTCGCATATACGTTGGTCTATGCTGTGTCTAATAGCCATGAACGAACTGATCTGAATAATGATGTTCTGTTCAATGTTAGTACTCGCTTTTTTTCGGCTGTCTACAAAGCGGTGTAGGGGTCAGGCTTCAAACCTCATTTTCAGGGGCCTTGCTGTCTTCATTGCGAAGGCGTATAGACACCAGGGGGTTAAATACCTGATTTACATAGAAATTGATACCCGAGTACCTTATTATGGGCTGAATTCCTGATTTTGGACTGGCCAGAAAAATATAGATACCTGAATTACTATGAAAAAGGTCTTAATAAGCAAAGTACTCTTATTCTAACTACTACTGTCTATCTCTAAGGTAAAACGGTACTATTCATACCGTACAAATATCACCGGTTTTGGACGCGGTTCTTCAGGGAGCTTTGGCTGACAATGATATAATATCTATCGTGTAGGAGGGCCCGGATAAGCTTTATATACCCTACCTACAACGATAGCAGAACTAGGTTCTTTGATTATTAAGGTGTGTGTAATAGTAATTTATATATATTTAGTTATTTTCTGCCGCTCTAAAAGAAGGTATGCTTCGTAGGCTGTCATTAAAAGTTTTTGCTATTTGTTTATACCATCCCATGGATGCATCCGTTAGATCCCCGTCTCTATAAACGCTCTCCGTCTCTATAGGTTGCTTTGTATTTGGAAGATAGCATAGTATTGAATATACAGTTGTTAAGAAGCCAGGAGAAGAGAGAAAGAGCAATGCAACTGTATTGGAACTGTCAACTGCTAAATAAGGGGAAAAGAAGAAGAGCGGGAGGAGACCTTGTAGCTAGCAGTCCTTTTAAACAGGGTTAGGTTAGCCTATATAGGTACTTATGCTGACGATTGTGGAAAATAAGCGAGCAGTAGGTGACTTGTTTGTACACTTTGCGGCGACCATCAACATTCGGGGATTGTCCGTTCACTTCTTTTAATCCGGTTTGCCTCGATCAATTCTTCTTCTTCCTCTTCTCTCACCCGGTACGACTTATCTTATTCATTACTACGTCGAATTACACATACCGAATCAACAGGTGCGTTCAGTTCCAATTTGCCCTCACGCCTTCTTTTTCCTGTTCTCAGTCTACTCATCACTTGGTTTACAGGGATACTGATATCGTTTGCTCTAGCTGCTTTGATCACGAAAGCAACAATGACAATCAGCTGGAATGAGAAGACTGATGCCAAGGTACGTTATACATCCATCTGTCTATACATCTGTTGGTTCAGACGTTATACGCGTTACGCGCAAGAAGAATATCGGATTTCTCCACGCCGGAGGAGAAAACATTGGAAATGCTATGAACCTCATTCTGACTGCGTACCCCCGTGCGGGTGACCTCTGGTGGATATATCATACCTCCAATGCTTTGTGACATTCCTTTCGTTTGCAAGATTGGCCGATATGTCCCACCATCTTTGTTTTGTTCAATGACTGACCATCATACTCTTTAGTTGCTGGCTGGCATACTTGCTACCAGCCCCACCGCCATCGATTTTAATGCTCTCGCCGAGTACATGGGTGATGGTTAGTGCTACGCGGACAACCCCCCATATCCCACACTCAATTTTAACACCGAACCCCGGACCATAGCTTCTACCCTTCATCTTACGCAGTTCATTTATGTACATCACCCGCCTACAAAGGCATTCTCCTATCCACACATATATGTTTTGTTTGCTGATGCCCTTCGCATGAACTATATGCTCCTTTTTTGTTGTGCATGACCCACCAATCGTTGCCTATTTGCTGTCTACCGTGCAAGGGTCGACCTGAAGATCTGTTCCAATCTCTCATACCCTCTTCTCCCTGTTTTACAAACTGATACAACAACGATGCTAACCCAATCTTATAGGAGTCACCGTCTCCGCTGTCCGTCACCGGGTCACTCGTCTTCGGGCTAAGGGCGAGGAGGACGGCAACGTCACTTCCCCGGTTTCGCCCGTTGTAAAGAAGCGTCAGCGCCGTACTCCAAAGAAATCTGCCCAGGCCACTGCTGGCAAGAGCAAGGACGCTGATGCTGAGTCTGATGGAGAAGGCGGAGCTACCAAGGATGAGGGAACCCAGGCTAAGGTTGCAAAGGGTAAGAAGCGCAAGATCAAGCACGAGGAATCTGAGGAGTAAGTCCCTGCTAATTGTGAGGATGCCGACAGAAGCACAGAGTGCTAATTTGTTTCACCCAGTTCCCCCCTTAGCTCCGAATCCATCAAGGAGGAGGAAGATTCCTCTGACGTCTAAGCGCCATCACCGCGCTCTTCTTCTTTTCACCACGGAACCGGACCGCGTCGACATGGTGAAGGTGTCAAGATGCTAATGGTATCCGGGTTTTATCTTCGGAACTTTTCAGAATCTCACAACGGGGAGGAATATCGAGATATGCAATGGAACAATTTACAAGGGGTTATTATCATATGGATCTATGACTAATGGCAATTAGCTTGACTAGTCGGGTCTCTTTGCTCAAAATAAAAGACCGTTACTGATCCCCAAAATGTTCTTTTAGTTCGTATGGCAAGAATGGAATAAAAAGTAGACGACATGGGAGTCGCTTCTCAATTGAACTAACTACCTCGGTGCAATCCAGACAAATGGGCACCAGAATTTGTTTAAAAAGAATTTTAATTTTTCCCATCACCTCACGGTGGAAACAAAAGCAATTGTGTGCATTGACCTTTTTTTTTGGAGGATTTGTCTCTTTTCTCTGAACGATGGGGGCACTCTCATGGTTGGGTAACAACAAAGCACCCAACACCGAGACCCGACAAGAAGTAAAACGCGAAGTTGAATATTGATCATAGGGCTTCTTCAAAGCACCTATATTTCAGGTGACTGACATGGATTCCCTTTGTGAATGACCGTTGAGTTACTTGGACAGCTGGTCAGAGTCCGAATCAGCGTCCTCATCATTGTGCTCAGTCCATTCAGGGTCATTCTGTCCGTTGTCGGTATTATGAGCTTTATCCTGGAATTCCGGGTGTAGAAGGGGGTCAATGACGTCGAGACCGATTTCCTTCTCGATAGCGGACCCGGTAAGAGGCTCATTGTCAGGCTCATTGTCAACCGTATGCAGACCTTCTGCTTCCTTGGTACTGACTTCTTCTTCGTCGTCGGCCGCGGCTTCCTTAGTGACACGCTTGCGCTTGCGGGAAGGTCCAGCAGAAGCAGCGGTCTCATTTGCCTTCTTGCGTGGGGTGCGCTTCTTTGGAGTCACTGGGCTAGAGGGGCCGGAGCCGGCGGCGTTGCCAATTCGAACGTTCTCCTTGATTCGGGCAAGTCGTTCCTTGATTGCACGAGGGGTTGGCTTCTGGTCGCTGTCTTGGGTAGCTAAGGAATTGTTAGAATGGCTATTTTCGCTGATCAAAAACTTGGTAGTGACTGCGAAACGGAGAACTTACGCCAGGCCTCGGCAACACGAGCCGCATCGACACTCAGGTCATGGGTCTCCAGGATTTTGGCAAGGAGCTATATCAGATGAGATTCGTCAGTCATAGTTGTCATAGCCAGGTTTGAGCTCTATCCATGGACACAGGTGAGAGAGGTTGCAGCAGATCTAGAACAGTAAACAAAATGTGCAACACAAATAAGCTTTGGGAGACACGAGATGGTGGCGATCTCCAAGCAGCTTGAGGTACTCAAACAAAGCTCAATCTCGAAGTCATCTTGTATGGTCATACAAGGAAAGTATGAATCTCCCCAGTACAAGTTTGTCAGGCCAGATATAGTTCAAAAGCCAAGGCCAACTGAGGTGGCCAGTGTAGGCTGATCAATTGGGCTCGCGCAATAAATGAAAAGTAACAACAAAGTGAAAAAATGAACTCACAGTTTGGTCTGCCGTAGAATCCCACTTTACCTTTCCCATTTTGGGCAGTTTAAACCGTTTGTGGTAGATGGTATGGTAAGATGGATGTGAACTTGATGTGCTTTGGTTTAGGTCAATGTGTTCTCAGAACAGGGATGTCTTTGAGTAGCTTGAGGAGAAGGAACGGAAGAGGAAGAAGAAGGGAGAAGATGCAAGCAAACCCTTTAAAGAGATTAGACTAATGAGCTTTGTCGCCCGCGCGTAGTCGTCTGCGCAGTCATTATTCAAACGAAGCAAACGAGAGTGGTCAGCGGAGCCTCGTGGTCAAGCAATTTATGCTTAGTCGTGCATTTCGATTAAAATTCATAGATTTACATGCCTTTACATGCCTTTACATGCAATGGACGACCCGACTAGGCGGTTGCACGAAATCAAAATCTCTCAACGACCAGGCAAAATAGCGGAAGGGAGATATACTGAAGAAGCTTGGGGCTACCACCCGCACACTAAACGGCAAATTTGTCTCCCAATTTTCCACATCTCTCAACTGATCAAATCTCTTGTCATCCGTAGAACGTGTGCTAAGAATACAAAAATTGGTGAACCCACCAATAGTGAATAATACAACAAATCCTAATGCGAAAAGCATAGGAGGTGTTAAATGTAAAGATCCACTTAGGAGCAATATTCCCCTATGCAGGTTAGCATATTTCATAAATTTGGTTAAAGATCACTGGCGAAAATAGAAAACAACAACAACGGATAGTCTGAGTGTTTCTCAATAAAAAGCGTATCTAGAATGGAACTGAGATATCCTTTCTATGAACATGACCTCTTACGTAGATTCACAGTTTGGCGCATGATATGCTATCTTCTGTGTATGGATGTGTCGTATCTATATGCGTGACATAGCTAGATAACAAGGAGAGGTATGACATTGAAAATTGAGACAATTTAGATTTATCGTACTCTTCAATGTTCATTTGCTCATTTTTATCAAGATGGTCCATTTGTATGAAGGTAGATATGGATTGTATATGTTCTTTGTCTCATTTATGGGGACCAGCTACATACATATATAGGCGGGAAGAAGCGATAACGTCACCAGTTTTTCATTTGGACCCTCACACCTCTCTGATGCCTAAGCAACATTCATATGCGACTCGATCTTATTTCATTTATTCCTGTGCACGGTTCCAGGCTCGTTCATTTTGCAACATGCCTTCTCATAATCCGAGTTGGGGCCAGCGGTAAGTCATCTTGCTTAGATAAGTGCGGCGACACAAGACGACCGTTTCTGATGTTGTTCTCTCGGGGTTTCGATCTTTCTGAATCACGAGGGTGGCTCTCAGGGTTTTTAGGCTCATCTTTCTCTACTGTCTCGCGGATACGGTTGAGTCCAGGGGGGTTTCGTCTACTCGGATGGCTGAGCTGCACCTCTTCGTAGGCTGGGGAGAAGCCAGACAAAGGGTTGGGGCCAGGTGTGCCTATTCCATCGGAGGAAGAGGCCAGCTGCTGATGCAACCGTTTGGAGACAACTTTGGTGCGTCTGGTCGGTGAAGGAGATCGACGACGATATCTGGGCTGCGATACACGTTGGGGCGATCTTGAGCGGGGCCGGGGTTGGGACAGGCCAGGGGGTCTGGGGTTCCCACTGGTGTCTTGACTTGGGTCCTGGCCACCCGAAAACCAACTGTGTTGCAACCAGTCGCCGACATCAAGGCTTCTTTCAAGTTGAGACAACTCCGAGGGGTTCGAATCTCGAGCGTGCGGGGAAGGTTTTGTTTGTGATAGCGTGGGTTGTTCGCTGTTGTATGAACCCTCCTTGGGTGGGGACTCATGAGCAATTTCTTGATGACTTGGCCTAGGTACCGAACTCTCAACCTCGAGCTCGCTAGCACGAGAGGTATCCAGTCGCCGGTCGGTTTCTACAGATTTCTGACCCCAACCTGCAGCCCGCCGCTTCACAGACAACCACGAATACTCTCGACCGGTCTGCTCGTGAAACTGCGACGCGAGATTCACCCAGAACCCTTTCGCTGGCAGTTCACCATTGGACACGGAGGGCAATGCTTGTTCATAGAGTCTCCTTAGAACACCCTCTTCCGCAAGAGTAAGTTTCTTGCCACGGCCTGTGCTAGGACGGTGATCGATTACTATATCACTGAGTTTGGTCCCCCGGGCGGATGCAAGATCCATTGGGGGCGTCGCTGGAGCCAACTCCAAGTTGTGGGGTCTTAGGTTTGATTGACGATCATCTGGTCTTGTTTGGCATGGGGGCGCCACGCTGCCACAGTGTCGGATCACTTGGCTTGAGTTTGAATGGATAATTCACGGTTAGACCCACAGATCAAGAGAGATTAAGAATGTCAGTGGCTAGGTTCTAGCCGAAAGGGGCGTGGATGACACTGTAGGTGGGTCGGAGAGGTCGGTGGCGCGTCGCGTCGCGTCTATCCCGCGTTTTCGGCGCGTACACGTGATCATCATAAATTGATGTGTTACTCAAGGTATACGTTTCAAGGTGCGGTCCGTCAATCATATTGTTTTTGCTTGTTGGGATATATTGATTATGTTTACTAAACATGCTTCCACACAAAGTCATCGCATAATTAGGGCACAGTTCCTTTGTCTGTGATTTCAGAGTTAACATTGCGAGTCAAAATGAGGCTAAACAATAAGTATAAGAATTTGTTCATTTGAAACTCTAAACAATGGCTTGAAACACCTTGCGGTACTAAACCATCTAGATATCCCCATATTGCAACAAACTAGGGCAAAGCAGCTGCACCAGGGCAACCGTGCATGAATGACAGAGCACGTGAACCACGTGGCCACAACCCTAAATCAACTACAATGAACCATCATTTGCTATAGCTTCGGGTGATTTGCTATTTGAACTTCCTCCGTGGCCTATCTACAGCGATCGCCCACCAGAGCCAGGAGCTGGATTTGTAATACCAGTAGTCTCATCAAGGACCACCTCGGGCGTATTTCCAGTTATAACGGGTGTTGCAGGACTCGGGCTAGAATGATGCGGACTGGCAAGACAATTGGCTCTAACATGGAGACGAGGATAACTCGATGATTCTAGCATAAAGCACATTCGAAGTCCGCACACGAGACGATAGTGTTCGCCAAGAATTTAAGCGGATCTACACAGAATGTGAACAAACTTGGTGTATGTCACCGTTTAGGATGTTGTTCAACTTGGATATTTCATTCAGTATGAGGGGTATCATCAGTCCCTGGTTATACAGCACCTAAAAAAAACCCACCAAAACGACAAGACAAGGTTGCGTAACCGGCCGACTTTTCTTGTATACATATTTATCAACAATCCAACCATTTGTCACTCAATAATCATTACCTTAATCAACGCCAAATATGAGCAAATTTCCAAATTTCCGTGTGATCAGCATTCATCAACTTGTCCAGCCAGATCACCTAATGACAGAGCTGAATCCATTGCGCAATAATATCCTCCATATCATGCGCAATACCCCACTGCGAAGACAAACACCGGAAAAGCTTTTGCATAGAGTTGAGTTCATAAAGCAGATTCCTGACAGCACCACCGATTGGAAGGGGGAGGGAGGAAGCCCCATTTCCATTCTCGACAAAGCGCTTTGTCTCCGAGCCAGATAAGGGCCGGATGTCCTCGTGGCCTAGGTTGAGATCCGAATGGGACAGCAAAGCATCTTGCCAAACGATGTTTCGAGGTAAATTCACAGTGGCCGCTCCTGCAAGTGAAAGAACGACGTATATTGTTGCCGCTGCGAACAGTGAGCTGGGCATGTGCACGACATGCGCGCGGCCACGTGGTAATTGTTCGACAATGTCTTGGATGGCGACCGCATGGAGGACTGCCCGCCGCGCGTCTTCTGAATTAGCCCATTTTACTATATCGAAGCCCGGGCGGACGGTTCCGCATCCACCAGAGACGTGTTGGATAATGTTGTAGCGCGAACAGACGTGGCGAGAGAGAACGCCTGAGTTGATCATTGTATCTAGACATACTGTGTGCCAGCGCAGGAGAATTTCGAGTCTTTCTGCTGCAGTAAAGTGGATACTCATAGATATTGTCTCGTGGACTTGAGCTAGAGCTCGCCGGACATCTGATTGGCTAGGAACTCCCACAGCTAGTTCATTATAATCAAAGTCGGAGATCAGAGAATGGAGACCTTCTAGTACCACACGAAGTGCGAAGGTGGAGAATTTGTATTCTAAAGGGCGGAAGCTACCAACCGGTGGGAAGAGGGAGCGGAAAATCGTCCTGAATGAGGACTGATCCGGCTTTTGGGGATGCATATGAGCCAACCATTCATCGGCAGTGCCCGCATCAAAGGCTTCCTCGCTACTCGGGAGGCTGAGTGGGTTTGCTACATGGCGAGAAGAGGCACCGTCGCTCGACGTTTGAGCCACGAGCCCATCCAGGACGTAGTAGGCCAACAGGGTGCGTTGCTGGATCTCCCGCGCAGACCAGATTCGCCACTGGTGTTCTTTTTCTGCAGCGGGGGCATCGATCGAGGGCAGATTGTCCATTGAGTATGGCTCGCTGTCATACATGCCGCAGTGTCTTGCCCATAAGAATCCCAATGGATGGAAGACCTGGCTGGTGGTTCGAATTGCCCGGTTCTTGGATAGCGCCCCATAAATCTGACCCAGTAGAGCAGTGATCATCAACTGAACGCCCTTGCATGCATCATAGGGGCCATTATGTATGATCATAGACTGCCATGAAGTTGAAAGTGCGGTATGCGCTAGGTGCCATAGGGCTTCGCCTTTTGCAACTGAGTCCTTGGGGCCTAGGTACAAAGAGCCGATGGCGATGGCATTAAGGAGGAGAGCATGTGTGCATTCTCGGAAAACAAAAGTTGCACGATGTAAGATTGGGAATGTGGGGATGAAGCGGATGAAAAACATATGAAGGCATTCGTCGAGGAATACGGAAGTGATGGATGTGGCTTTGACGGCAGCGGTAACACTGGATGACTAGGGTAATGACATGTCAGTTTCGATCAAATCTTGGTTCAACCTATGTTTTGACTGATGTTTTTGACAACCCTGGATTCCTCCTGACAAAATGCAATATCCAACTTACCGAGCTCGTTACCATCTCTGTGACATCTCGCACTGCCTGATGCCCTCCACCAGATGGTATTGCCCCGACAGAAGATCTATGGTCATCGAATGAATTTGGAGACCCGAAATTCATACCATTCATATCCTGCACGACAGATGGAAAGGGTAAGGTACCAAGCGGCATCTGCCATTGATCTGTGGTATCCGAGGACATCAAGGTTTGAAACAAGCTTTCCGAGTCGGGCCAGACCAACGCAAAGTCCAATTCCGAGGTGACATTATGCATACTCACATGATTCCCAAGATGAGTCTCGTCCCAGGAGTGAATCGTTGCTGAAGTTGACGCCGGATCAGCAGTGGAAGCACTACTCGTATCCCACGAAGGGAGAGAATCTAGAGATGTAGGCTGTGGCGGCAAGTGTACCTCCGACGAATCATTCTTTGAATTTATGGAACGAGCATGCAGCTTTTCATGGCGAGTAAGAGCATCTTGTCGGGCAAAGGGCCTTCGACATTCTCTGCAGACATATGGCTTAGATCCCGTATCTAGTTCTTCCAGTCAGCTGGGTGGGTCTTGTTGAATTTTGTGTAGGGATCACAAAGGACCAGTGGATCTGACAAAATTAGAACATACGACAACGCTCATGTCTCTATATGTGAAGACCCGTTAGTTATCTCGTAACACTTGGCAGTCCCTCTTTCGTGGGGAAGCTGTAGTTGAAGCCAACCTTGGAAGTCTACTCACCCTCAAGTGCTCGGCCTTCGAGAATGCTTTTTGGCATACTCGACAAATCAGTTTCTTGCCTCCTGGCAGTGCAGGTGGTGCTGTCATTATCCCTATTGACGCCATATTTGTCGAGGAGAAAGAAACAGCAAAAAGGTAGATTGTGGAGAGGTGATTGTGGGGTGTGGCACCTGGGGGACCCGAGGACTGCTTATGCGATCACGGAATTATATTTTGCCTGCCCCAGAGGGCTTGAAAGATCTTGGAGACTACAGAGATCAGATTTCAAATGTATATTATTTACTCTAAGCGAATAAGATTGAAGATCAAGCAACTAGGGAGGTGTTTGAATTCCAGTCAAATATCCTTAGCGTTCAAGCGTTCAAGCGGAAACAAGGAAGCGTGGCAATACAGCCCAGGAAGCGTGGCTACTATGCTCAGACCAACCATTATGTACGTCTCAGGGTTGCGCGGCTTGCAGGCAGCATTAGAATTGCCGTCCCGATTAAAAATTTCTTTAGCTGAATGGTGAATGCAACGAAACAAATAGCTCGGTCCCAAGGAAATTGTGCCAAGATGCCAGAATGCAGAGGGTTTCGGTACTTGGCTCGGGATAGGAGCAGTACTGCATACTAAAAGGCTTCATCGGGTAGCCGTGTTCAAGTGCCATGGCGACACCTTTCGCACGATCCCATGGCAGCAATCTATTGAGCAGCATCTTGACTGGTCGGTACCGACGCTTTCCAATCAGGAACCGTGGAGTGCCTCCGCATTGTTCTCCATTTTCTCCTCATTTTCGCTTTGTTTCCTCCCCGAGGGGCCCCGCAACGGAGCCGAAAACCCCGGGGAATACCTACCCCAGGCGCAGGGGAGGTCCGACTGGGCAAACGCCGTGGGTTTAGCGTCTTCAGTATGCCCACTCACCCTGGCATTTTTCACCAGTCCCTCACTGATTTCACGCCCCATCAGAGCTAGATACAGAACTTCTAGATCTGTCATCATTACTGTTTGTCCCCGATATTCCCAACTGGCTTACCCTGAGACATTGTTTCCTGTAGCCCTCTCATTCAACAATCCTCCGCACTTCCTCCTATTTTCACCGCAATCAACACACCACGGTCATAGATCCAGGGTAATTCGAGCCATTGGATGCTTGTCTGATTCTCTACTTCTCATTAGGGAATAACGCAAGAGATATGCCGTCCTTGGAGTTGCAAACGAGCTCGTCTGGACGAGATGAGGTCGAGGTGCCAGGAACGAAAACCGACATCGACCTCATTGAGAGTGCAGGACATGGACGGACAGCCACCTACGCGGAGTCAATGACTGCTCATCTGCCAAAGGCACACAGAGACTATCTGATGGAGCGACACGGGACTCTGGAACTCGACCCTATCCCCGGAATGAGTCCGGCTGACCCTTACAACTGGCCTGAGTGGAAGGTAAGTCAATATTCTCCTTACTACAAGATGACTTCGTCGCGAATGATCTTGAAACGAGACAAAAGCAACGGCTGAATAGGAGGCTGATGTATCAATGTGTAGAAAATGATTAATCTTATCCTTGTGGCGTTCCACGCTTGCATGGGCACATTTACCGCCGCGGGCATCATCCCTGCCTATTTAGACATCTCCACAGAACTCGGTGTCGGAATGCAAGATGCTAGTTACTTGACCTCTTTGCAAATTGCCATTCTGGGAGGTGCGCCTCTGTTCTGGAAGCCGCTTTCCAATCGGTATGGGCGCCGGCCTATCTTCCTCCTCTCCCTCATCTGCAGTCTCGTGTGTAATATTGGCTGTGCAAAGAGCACCACATATGCTTCTCTGGCTGCTTGCCGGGCCCTCGTGGCCTTTTTCATCTCGCCTGCCTCTGCTATTGGCAGTGCGGTCGTGATGGAGACAACATTCAAGAAAGACCGCGCGCGTTACATGGGCGTTTGGACACTGATGATCACCCTGGGTGTACCGGTTGGGCCTTTCATCTTCGGCTTCGTCACCTACCGCGTTGGTTATCACTGGATCTATTGGATCCTCGCAATTGTAAGTTCCTCCCTCCATAGTAGTCAATAACCTGTTCATGAGCTGACAATTCTAAAGATCAACGGCGTCCAATTCATCTTGTATCTGTTCTTCGGCCCCGAAACCCGTTATCTAGGCAGCGGCATCGACAGCAAGGAGTCAACGAGAAAGATAGAGTACATGTCACTGCGACGGATCGACCCCACACCATTCTCATGGTTCGAGTTCGTCCGCCCACTGACAATGGCTCGACACCCGTCAATCCTCATCCCAGCATGCGCATACGCAATGGTCTTCCTCTTCGGCAACATTCTCGCAACTGTTGAGATCCCCCAACTCCTGCAAGAGAAGTTCGAACTCAACGCCGAACAACTAGGCATGCAGTTCCTAGGCGCAATCATAGGTTCCGTAATCGGCGAGCAAATGGGCGGCGTGCTGTCAGACTTCTGGATGAGCCGGCGCAGTCGACGCATCAACCGTAAGGCCGAGCCTGAATTCCGCCTGTGGCTCAGCTACTTCGGTTTCGCGCTCACCATCATCGGTATGATTGTGTTCTTGGTCTGCACGCAGGAATCGCTAAGCGGGCGCTGGAACGTCACGCCCATTATCGGCACTGCTATTGGCGCTGTCGGGAACCAGCTTGTCACCACGGTGATGATCACCTATGCTATCGATTGCTTCCCGCAGGAAGCTGGTAACATTGGTGTGTTCATCACGTTTATCCGACAGATTTGGGGTTTCCTTGGTCCTTTCTGGTATGTTTTCCTTATCTCCTTTTTGTTTTTTAGGGTCGTCGCTAACCTCAGCTTAGGTTTGCTCCCATGTTCGAGACTGTCGGTGTTGCCCCCAGCGCGGGCATTGGGTCGGCGCTGGTTGTCGTCGTCAGTGTTATTCCCACCATCTTCCTGCACTGGCGGGGTGAGATTTGGCGTAGCGAGGAGTAAATGGGCTAGAATAGAAATCGATTTCGGTTTCAGTTTCGGTGTTTCGCGTTCACACATTTCGTCATTATTGTTTCGGTTTGAGTTTTCAAAACATCGCGGAGGGAATGATAGAGTGATAGAGTAAATCGGGTTCGGGTTCGGGTTAGATGAAGATTCGGCGTTGGTATCGGCATCGGCATCGAACACGGCAAGATGGTTGCAGACAGTACATAGCTTAACGCGTAAATTGCATGATTCTTCAAAGAGCTTTGGCAATCGGCAAGAGAAAGTATCTGTAGTTAGTACAAACTAACAGACATCAAGAAGATTGGTTGAGTTCTGTTCAAGAAATCATATCGTCATCTCTAGGAATGTGTATAGAGGCATAAAGTTTTGATAACACCAGGAGCAACAACAATCATGTAAAGAAATGGAGAAAAATAAGAGAGAGAATTTTGACTCGACAATGGGAATCCAACAAAACTCTTCCCCGAAAAACATGCCGCAGACCGTCTTTTAAGCAAACCACTCTGAATGGGGACAGCTCGGGACACCGACCCAGTATAATCCCGTAGCGTTGGAATCGACCCATCGGGTCAACAAGGCCCACGGGCCCTATCAGACAACTACCGGGTATACATTTCGGCTTGCAGTCCTGGCTAAATGTTTTCAGCCTACTACTACATAAAAGATATGCAGAAATGTGAAGTTATTACTATACTGTTCTAGTATAGGGTTCACGTTATACAATTAACCATGACCATGATAGTAACATTTAATCAGTAAATGAAATCCCTGCTAAGTCTATAAGAATTGAATCCATGATTCCAGCTCACCCATTGACACATCTTCTCTCTTTTCTAAGCACTTTAGCCCCTCAATAAAGTTGCCCGGTAAAGGATCTATAGAGCGATGTGCCGGGAGAAATTTACTCCGTAAAGGGAAGAGTTTATATCCGACCGAGCTCTGTGATTGGTCAAAGCTTCGCGATTCAGATTATTGACTTGCGTCTTCATAAAACCCCCTTACCTTGTGGGCTTGGGCCAGAGATTGAATATATACAGTCCAATAGCTCTAATAGTACTTAGTGGTCGTATTGGCTGTGTTGTATATCTAAGGAGACTTAGGAGAATATACAATGAATGTACAGAAGACCACTTCACAAAGGGTTGATATGACTACAAACATGTATAGTACCTAACAGTTGTCAGAGTAACTGCAAGTCTTATTGAATATAAGTACAAGTGGAAGTATATTGCCTCAAGAAGTCACATCTATCATTTTATATACTGTATTCGTCACTGGTGCTCGATCTTGTTAATTAGTGTCCCAACGTGGGGCAGCAGCTCAACGGCGAACTCATCGCCAGCCTTGATAAATTCCTTCGGGTTCTTAGCTGCGCCAACACCAGGCGGGGTGCCAGTCAATATAATTGTACCGGCAGGCAGGGTGGTTCCTTGGGAGAGGAAGCTGACCAACGTGGGGACGCTGAACACAAGGTCACTGTGATTAAACTTAATGTTAGCTGATGTTATTTTGCATACCAGACGAAGTAAATATAACATACGTCAAGGGGCAGTAGTCCTGCATCACTTTGCCGTTCTTAAGACCACGAATCTGGAGCTTGCTGACATCGGGGATGAGAGCAGCGGAAGCGAGGACGGGGCCTAGAAATTGAGTCAGTGCCAAATTCGTCTGAACAGTATCCAGCCTTATAGACATACCAATCGGGCATGCGCCATCGAACCCCTTGGAGAAAGACCACTGGCTCTGATTCATCTGGGAAGTGCGACTGGAGACATCGTTTGCAGCTGTGTAACCAAGGACATAGTCGAGGGCCTCGGACTCGGACACATCTTTAGCATCACGGCCGATGACAATAACCATCTCAGACTCGTAGTCGCCGGTGTTATCCTGCTGCGTAATCTTAGGCAGAACTGTTGGCGCGGGCCAAGGATCCGCCAGAGAGCTGGCCGGCTTCATGAACAATGTCGGGACTTCAGGGATCGGGAGAGCCATCTCCTTAGCATGGGAGGTATACTATACTGCGAATTAGCAGCTTCATTTACTTGCATGTCCCTGCCATTATTTAAACTCACGTTCAAGCCAATACACCGAATAGTTCCAACCTCGCTTTGCGCCAAAGGGGACAGAATGCGCGCGATGGTCTCCGTCGCATCGGTTACTTGACCAGGGCTCAGGACTGAAGTGCCGGAGAACGGGCGCACTGCAACCTCCTTGCCCTGGTAGAGAGCTAATCCAACATCCAACTTAGGATCGACGGGCTCTCCGATTAAAACCTTGGCGGGGTTCGACTTGGGGACAAAGCGCACCAGGCCTATTTGTTGTCAGTTTAGAATTCCAGGTCAATCTGAGAGTTCTTACGCGAGAAGGTAGATGCGATTTTGGACATGGTTGCATTAATTGGAGAATGAAGAGGGGAAGCAAGTAGATTGTAGCAGAACCCCCAAATATAATACGGGCCATCGAGACCGATAGCGGAGTATGTCTAGCCCGGCGCTGTTTAAGCCGGAGCAGCATCCCACAATGTGGGGAAGTGGCGAGCGCGGCCGATGTCAACTTGGAGAATAAAAAGAATAAAACCCCCGCGAGTGTCGCGTTTTTGTAATTAATTACCCTTCCTATTTCGCCGCTATGTCTGCTCCTAAAGGTCCCTTCCATTTGGTTAGCGTCAACACCGCACCCGAGCGCGCCAAGCGCCTCATCGGCCGCCTCACCGAGGCTCTGAGCGATCGGTACACTATCATCCACGTCGACAACTGCGAGAGTAAGCATATTGAGGGTCACTGTGAATAAACTTTTGTTGACAAAACCCTCGCACAGAAATCGACGAAGTCGAGGCCAAGGTCAAGCAACACAACCCCGAGGTTCTGGTAAGTCCGACTTTGATTTCTCGAGCACTCCCAAGCTGGAATTCCACATTAATATCTTGAATAGTTCAGCGCTTCTATGTGGTCTCCAGAGGAGGCCCAACAGATCCATCAAATCGCTCGTTCTATTCGACCCGATATCAAGCTTCACGCCATTCCCCAGGGTTTACAGGTCGAGCGTGGGCCCGATGCCGTTGTTGAATATCTACTTGAGAAGGTGCCCGTGCTGCTGGACAGCTAGACATTGTAAATATGAACATGTATATATCCATGTCTCAATAAGCGTTTGATGACATGTCTTTCATGACGTTGCATGCAGTTCGGTACAAAATTCGATCATTGATGGTCCACAACTGTATATGCGCATGGAGACGAGGCCTTTGTTATCATGTCACGCATACTTAGTCTTCTAGGCCACAAGGAACGCTCCGCAACACGGCCTGCGAGATAGGAAGTTTTTCTTTCTTGTGGAAGTCGGAAGCGAGGTGTGTTGTTGAGTCTTGCTTCTGATATTCATTTTTCGGTGTTAGAAAGTAAAGACTTCACTCGGATGAAACCAAGAACCCAGCTCACTCGTTCTGTATCGGTATCAGAGGGTGACTCTTAAACAACTAGAGGGAATGGATCCATAGAAACACATGAGACAGGAAAACTCATGAGCTCTGGCAATTAGAGCGAGTGCAATCGGAGGAAACGCTTGTGGTTGCTCCTCATGGGTTGTTGGAAACATGTGTAAAGAAAGAAGAGGACAGAAAGCTATGCAGGGACCTGACTTTAGCTCTGCAAGCCATTAGGACTCTGAAATCCTGAAAACCTACGATGAACCATAAGAGAGAGGATCGATGAGTTGTTTCAGCCACGAAGGCGCTTGCCTAATTCTGCAACTTCCAAGCTTTTACTTTGCTTCTCTAATTTGATCTTCAACTTTCTTTTCTGTGAAAAGACACTACTCGTTCTCTGATGGCCCTCAGCTGGCTTCATGCTTCATCCTTCATCCTCATGAAGATCTTACGGATATCGGCTTAAACAAAGGAAAAGCACTAACTCTGGATGACTTCGACTGCCCACGAATACCTTCCAACCACCTACAAGTGGGCTCTGAACGATTAAATCCGATTATGATGCTGGCGTCTTTCTGGAAACCTAACTAGCAAGTTTGCACGGCTTCATACAGCATCCATCGTTCTGTTGCCAAAACAGTGGCACCTTATACGGAATCCTACACGGGATCCGTATCACGGGATCTGCGACTGAGCCTCTTTGGCCAACCTTGGCAATGCCATACACCGAGGTGTCTCTATGTAATACTCCAGGACTGAATGGTGTATATTCACCGATTAGCTTAAAATCAGAAGCAATCATCTCCCACCGGAAATCGTGGATCCATCGAGCTAAATTCGACGATCAATCCACAGCCCCAAGCCCTGAACCGACGCCTGATCAATACGACCATTAAAGTTGCAGATACTCCAAAAAAGGGCCCTTAATGACTTCCTGTCCAATAGTTATCCGGTGAATACGAGCACCGTCCCGCTTCAACCCCCTTGGCACCTTGGCATTCAGGGTCAGCTAGGTATAAATCCCGTGTTATCACTTCATTAGGGCACAAAACTAATCAATTTTACGGCAAACGCCCGTGTTCATAAACTCGTGCCCGACCGGAGCATTCCTTATTTTCCTAGCATTCTTTTTTTTACGAACAATTTAGGAGGATGAGCTGACAGAAGATTTTATTTTGATACTGATTTACGATTACGAGAGCAATGTTACTTCGTCACCCTTTTCTCGCACTCTTGGCCTTGCTGGCCGTCCCAACGCGGGTATTATCACGAAAGGGCGGCGGAGATGGCTCTAGCAGTGACAGCGACAGCAGTAGCTCCAGTGGCTCGAGTGGCTCGAGTGATTCCAGTGATAGTGATGACACTTCTTCATCAACATCATCCTCGGGCGAAACCCACTGCTTTGACACCCACCTCCTCAACTTTGACGATCTTCAACCTTCGCACTACTACAAATACAATCAGGAACCACGCCGTGGTCATGCGAGTGCTAAAACCGACTGGGATGGCGTCTACTTTAAAGGCGAAGCCAAGCTCAAATACACAATCGTAACACCACCAAACAATTTAACCGAAGACGACATCGTTAGCTCATCTTTGATCGAATGTCCCGTTGGCAGACAATCTATGCGTATGCTAGGTGTTGCATGGGTCGGTGCCAAAACTCCCACCCCCGCTGGACCCGTCAATCCCTTCACGTTGGGTTTCAAAGCCTGGGAGAGCAACGTCCGCGTCTCGGATATCGATTATTCATACAGATTGTGTGAAGACCCGGATCTCATGCAACTCACCACGACTGTGGACTGGTTCAATGAAACTTCGGTCGAGAAGGCCATGGATGCTGTTGAGTTCAATATCACTCAAGCGGCTGATAACAGCAATAAAATTCTGTTCGACGGGGTCTATGATCTCAAAGACTGGGCTGATAGTGAAAGAAGCTATCTGGAACCAGCACGCTATGACAATACCGGTCTTTGGCGTCAGATAATTTCCCTTCCGGATGGTCTATGCTCAGAGAGGAGCAAATTAGGCAAAATCCTCTTTGTATGGCCCACTGGAACACACATCAATGGGTCTATGACCAATGAAACTCTTGAATTGAATTTCTCAGGGTCGACAATTGCTGGATTTGAAAGTCGTTCTCAATGGCAGGACACCGACACAAAAGTAAATGTGACTTTCGAATTCACATTCACGGGTAGTTTGGATGCTGCGAATTCCTCGCAGGTGGTTCTGCCAGGGGCGTCGAGTCATAATGCGTCACTAATCGCCTTTGATACAGTGACTGGTAGTGCTCCTATGATAAGTCGTTCATTGTATTACGTGCTACTGTCTTTATTGGTCAGTTTTGGGGTCATGGTTATATGAGCGCACAACTTTGGGAGGAAAATATATCCAGTCATCGTCAATGTCAATCAATACTTCTACTTTTGTCGTCAAGTAAAGATCGCAAGAACACACGAAGTTATCTCGAAAAATTTCTGACACCGATGAAATATGGAAATATCAAACCGAAGACGCCGCAAATAGTAAGTAACCATCACATAGTTAGTACCCGTCTTTGCCTGAAACAACCCCATAGCAAGGACCATCCTTGTTAAACATGGCTTGCAAGTCCTGGATAATAAATTCGGGAACCTCCCAAGCGGCGAAGTGACCTCCACGGGGATACTCGTTCTGTTGAACAACCGGACCTAGGCCAGCAGCCCAACTGCAAGGAATGACTGAAATTTCACGAGGGAGGTGCGCAATTCCCAACTTCGCATGTGGGACATATGCAACCAAGTCCTTGTAAGACTTCCCCTTAGCCATCTCGGTGTGAAAGGTCTCATAGTATATGCGGACACTAGCAGCGGGTCCGGCCGCGGAAAACCAGTAGATGGATATCCAGGTTAGGATCTCGTCGTCCGTCCAGGGATATGAGTCTGTCCAGTCGTGCAGCTTCTCGTAAATCCAGGCCAGCAGGGCAACAGGGCTATCTTCTAGCGCTGCACCGATTGTCTGCGGCTTGGTGCTTTGGAGTTGGTTGTAACCGTAGCCTTCACGTTCGAACCATTCACTCCTTTTGCGGCCAGACCTTTCCCGGTCACTATATGGCAGCAATGCGTGTTTCAGGGCTAACCATGGGTTATCGGTGAATCGAGGGGGATTGGCCAGCACCATGTTAATATGAGAGGCTTGGCAGTGCTCGGGGTATAGTAGACCGATGGTTCTAGTAATCCAAAATCCCCAATCTCCACCCTGGGTCACTGTACGTGTAACCAAGTTAGTTTCGGGTGTGGCTGATACATTCCGGCTCATTGGGCCATACCATACTGATCATAGCCGAGCTTGATCATGAGCTTGTGCAAGACCTCGGCATACTGTGCAAGGCCAAACCCACGACGAGTGACTCCTGAAGAGAAGCCGAAATTGGGTAGTGATGGAGCCACAACGTGGAATGCGGGACTGTCGTCATCGCCTTTCAGCATCGGTAGCAGTTTTGTGACTTCGATGAATGATCCCGGCCCTATATATAGAGATAAGAGACCGTACTGCAATAGGAAAAATGATGGATGTTATAGACGAGGAGATCAATACTCACATCCGTGGCTGAACAGCAGTGGAATGGCGTTCTTGTTGGTGTTGATTTGGTGGACATCTACATTTTGAACCCTGTGAATATCAAACACTTCACAATATATGCATTAAAACTCACAGTGGATATCCAAACTACCAAATCCGTCTACCTCGATCCGGGTTTGATATTGGGGCAGCTCATTCAACTTTGCTTCTGTTTTCCGCCAGTCAAAGCCACCCTTCCAATACTCTATGAGTCGCTGCACTTCTTTCACTGGAGTTCCAAACTCCCAAGGATCTTGTTCGGAGGATTCTAGCTGGGTTGGGAATTTGGAAAGTGCTAGGCGTTGCTGAAGGTCTTGGAGACTCTCATCAGGAACGGAAATCTTGTACGTTTTCGGTTGGTCGGCCATAATAAAGTGATTTTATTTTATCTGATGGGAAATTAGAAGCTATTTGATGAGGCAGTGTAGTAGAGTCAAGGGGATAGCGGGGGATGATTTGAGCTTTGAGATGAAGTTGCACCCGAGGCTCAGACCTAGACCAGTTATACTGTCTAAGAATACGGCCCTAGGCCATAAACAGACATCTCGATATTGTGGTCTGGTAAAATAACCTGTATTTTTCCCCACTGATACCTTTCGGTGTAAGCATAGGCGGTGGCAATTGCGGGGTTGCAAGGGGCTGCCTTAACCGCCCCAACCCAACCGCCCTAGTGGTCTTCACCGCCGGTCATTGCACCCCTGGAGCACTCACTTTACGCACCACAACGCCTACCTAGGTAACGTTACCATTGAAGTTTGCGATACACACTACTAGATAATCTCAAGGACCTTTCTAGAACTGAAGTGCCCTAGGCTGATATCAATTTTACTTATAATCGTATAATCCCCATCGCTATAACAATTGAATTTCCATGAAACCATCTCGCCAGTTAGCGATGAGAAATAAATTCCAACTTGTAACCATCTGGCTAATTTTCCTGGTACCAAAGTCATGAGGCTTAAGGGCCTAAAATCGTTGGACCATGTCTAAGTTGGGGCGGGGCACCCCCCTGAGATAGGCCTCGACTCAGACCGGCCCCGGGCCTTCCAAAGCCCAAGCTCCCTTAGTCAGCAACCGGCCCGCGGGCCCGTGCGGTATTTCTAAGGTTCCCGATCATCAGGGATTCAATTCTTGATAATTGCCATTCTCTTAACACGAAGATCAGAACATGTTCTCACTCCGGACAATTGGACGTGGTGCTCCCGGCCTTCGGGCTTTCTCCACAGCCCGTATGCTGCAATCCGAGCTGGCATATCAAGTCTTTGGCGAGGAAAATGGCCAAGCTGTCCGAGACCCAATTCTGATTCTACACGGACTATTTGGATCAAAGCAGAACAACAGGAGTATCGGCAAGTATGTTTTATAACCCAACGTCTAATGAAAACTTCATGGTCTTACATATCTCTCAGGGCTTTGGCACGGGATCTGAAATGCCAAATCTTTGCACTGGTAAGTTTCGGCTTGTCCCCGGAAAGCCATGGGGAAAAAAATGTCGTCCGAGAAACCTAAACATATCTGAACAGGATCTGCGTAACCATGGCCATTCTTTCCATGCTCCTGAGCACAATTACGGTTCTATGGCAGAGGACGTGCAGGAGTTTATTAAGCAGCAGAAACTCGACAAGTGCGTCCTAATCGGGCATTCCATGTACGTGATCATATTCCCGATGCCAAGCGCAGTTCAAGCATAAGAATCATCCATGTTGGGTTCTCTTCTCATACTAACGATTGGTAAAGGGGTGCCAAAGCCGCAATGGCGGTAGCACTGCGCGCCCCCGAACGCGTGTCAGCTTTGATCCCCGTTGACAACGCACCGGTGAACGCAGCACTAAAGAGCGATTTCCCTAAATACGTCCGCGGGATGCAGAAAATCGAAGCTGCTAAGGTGTCAAAGCAATCCGATGCTAACAAAATTCTCGAGGATTACGAAGAGGTAAGGGGGTGTTGATCTTTCTAACTAGGGGACAAAGTGTGGCAATGGGCCTAGCACCCCTTCGGCAATGTTTAGCATACTAACACTGCCCAGTCTCTTCCTATCCGTCAATTCCTTCTCACCAACTTGATACGCTCCGAGGAAGATAACACACTTAAGTTCCGAGTGCCGCTATCTGTCATCGGCGGCTCATTGGATCATATGGCTGATTTCCCTTTCGAGGAATCTGATAACCTCCATTACGACGGCCCGACGCTCTTCGTTCGTGGCACTAAGTCTAAGTATGTTTCGGACGATACTGTGCCGGCTATCAAGAAGTTCTTCCCCAACGCGCAGATTGTGGACGTCGAAGCGGGTCACTGGCTCATTTCTGAGAACCCTGAAGCATTTCGCCAAGGTAATTATTCCCATTTTTCGACAACATCTAATAGTATTTTGGGCTTACGTGATGATACTAGCGGTGGTCAAGTTTTTGGGGTCGACATAGTCGAGGTAAGCATAATTGGGGTATGGCATTGGTCACGTGACTTTATAGTTGGAACGTATGTGTAGATGTGTCAAATGTACAATAATAATTCACCCAGTGGTATGCTGAGTAATATCGATTTGAATAGCGAATCGCCGGCCAGGCTTGGAGCCTATCGACCAAGTGGCGAAAACGCATTAATAATGGTTCCCCCCAAAGATGGATCAATGGGTCACACGGTGTGTCGCAATTCGAGGATGATGGAGAGGGAAGACAACGTAGTCGTGGAGAACATGAGACATGTGAGACCAGTTTTGGGCCCGCTCAACCATCCTGCTTGTTCCGCTTTCGCTTCTTGACTGGTCTACTCGAAGTCTTGGGATTCTCTTCTGCCTGCTCCGCTCTCTTCTTCGCCTTCTTCTTTTCCTTTTTACTAGAGCCCTGAGTAAGAGATGCCGGAGTAGAAGAGCTAGGACCTGGTGAAGACTCAAACACCGAAGAGGATTCGGCTGTGCTTTTGTCGTCATCAGAGTCTATTACAGAGGACATCAGTCGCTTTCCTTTCAGATGTTGAACCTGACGGGGCTCAACGGTTTTGCCGGAATATGGCGATGGATGACTGTTGCTGGGTCCACTGAGTGTTTGTGAAGGCTGACGAGCTTGCGTTGCAGATTGATTTGACTTCGAACCGGTTGGCGCAGAATTGTCGGCCTGGCCCTTCACGCTGAACTGGACCGGCTGATATCCACCTATAGTAGGGCCCATGGGAACTGTCTTTGGTGTTGCCGTCGGCCTTGGGGTGAAAGCATGACCGTTTGGTTGGGGCTGGGGAGATTCCTGCCCATCAGTGCTCTCCTCCATTTTACCGATAACATCAGAAATTTTAGCTCCCCCCGCAAGGGCCTTGAAAATGTCTTCAGCGCTCCTCAGGCGCTTTATGTACATCTTTACCTCATCCCCCTGCTCGTTGAATTTCTTCAATGAGACCGGTGGTTCCAGGTCTTCAAGGGCTTTCAACTGATTCCGGAGTTTGCCAAAATCGTTATCTTCCGTTGCCTTGCGATCTTTCAGGTCTTGTAAATTTTTCCGGACTTCGTGAAGACCTCGATCCGCTGTCGTGTTTTGCTTTTCTATATCTTTTAGTTGTCCCCGAAGTTCGTCAAGAACTTCATCTTCGACATCGCCCCGACTTTCCAGCTTTTCCAGCCGTATCCGAATCTTGTCAAGATTATTACTCGCGGTAGCGTCTCTCTTTGCCGCGCCTTTGGTTAACTCGTCAACTGTTTGTCGAACATCTTGGAGCTGCGAGATGTGAGCATCGACCTTGTTGATCAATGGACTGATGTGCTGCGTGGACTCGATGATGTTTCCAATCTCTACACCCTGGTCATCGGCCTTTTCAGAGATGCCCTCGATGGTGTCGTATTGAGCCGTGACTTTGTTTTGTAATTCGCTGCGTAGTTCAAGATTTCTCTGCAACTCATCACCATGCTCCTTGATAAGTATCTCGATCGGTGCAATCTTGTTGGAAAGGTCTTTGACTTGTTGAAGCAAAATCGGCATCTGAGTCAAATTCTGGAGCTGTTCGGGTGACACCTGCGCCGCTTCAGACCTCTCTGCGCTAGGCTGGACCTTCCGTGCGTCTGCCTGAGCTTTTTGTGTATCTACCTTGAACGATTCTGTGTCCACCTTCAACGCGTCTGCGTCTTTCTTGAGTGCAGAAAGTCTAGCTTCAATTTCAGTTCGGTGGGCCGTTAATTGTTGACTCAGTTGATCAACAGAGGGGTACATTTGCTGCATGGCATGTGCCATGGAATTCACTAATTCGCCTGTAGTGATATTGGAGTATCGTGATTCTAGTGAGCGAATTGCCCTGCTGACAGAGTCGATTTTACTCTCGCACTTTGTTAGAGCTTGAGGAAGACTAGAGACTGCAACGAGGCGCGTTTCGAATCCATCTAGTCCGCTTTGAACATGTTTTTGGATCTGCTCAAAGTTCACTGGCAAAGACGCCCTAAATTGGAGAAGGGCCGCATTGAATGTTGTCTGAACGTTTGTCATTTCCTCGGATTTCCTGGTCAGGTCCTCCACCTTTTTTAAAGTGTCGTTTTGTTTGGTTTCAAGTGATTTTTGGCGCGATTCTTGGTCCTGGCGTAAAGAGTTCAACTCACCCACACGGATCACATCCACGTCGTGATGAAGGTTCTTGATGTTGTTAAGCAGGTCTGCTTGGTTCTGGACTTTCTTTTCCAGAGACACCACTCTTGTAAGCACCCCGCTGTGGGGAAGAGGAGTTGTTTCTGATGAGACCCGGCCGCTGTTATCAAGGTTTTGTTGCTGGGTCCTGAGTGAGGCCAGAAGTTTTTCTTGGGCGGTAATCTGCTCCGTGGCTTGCTTCCTTTGAGCTTCCAAGTCAGTTTCAATTTGTGAAACTCGAGTCGACGCGCTATTCTTGATACTAAGTCTCGTGGTACTGAGCGACTTGACATCGCTTTCAATGGAAGAAAGCTTGCCCTGAAGCTGTTCATTTGTAGTTCTCAGTTTGCAACCAAGATCCGAAATGTTGGACTCTAGCTGCTCGTTGGAAACTTTCACTTCTTCCTCGACGGTGTCGACCATCTGCTTGATAATAGAAACCTTGTCATCAAGCTTCTTGTCGGCAGCCTTCACTTCGACTTCAAAGCTTGACATTTTGTCCGTGAATTGACCCTTCCATTTTGATTGAAGAGCGACTGAGTTTGCAATCTTTTGGATGTATTCTAGTGCCTCCTCTAATCCTTTGGGATTCTCGAGGGCATGCTGCACTTTTTCCAGCTTTCCGTTGATTTCAGCGATATTTTGGTCCCGGCCTCGCATTCCAGTTTCGGTATCCACTTGTGTTGGACTATCACCGTCGGTGGTTGGGCCACGGCCTTGCCCTATTCCGTTTATTGTGGACTCCAGCTTCTCCACCCTCCCTGGTATGTTTTCGAGATGTGGCTGAGGCTTGAAATGCGACAATGTCGAATTAAAATTATCCTGCGCCTGATTGGAGAGTGATCGATGCTGGGTGATCGACTTGACATGGTTGGCTAATTCATCTTTGGCCGCGTCCAGCTGTTGCTGGAAGAGAGCGATGACACTCGGAAATTGTGGAGACTGCTTCGCCCTCTGTAGGTTTTTGGTAATAGAAACTATTTCCTTTTGGAGTCTCTCTTTCTCTTCCTCGCACTTGTTCACATTAATCAATGAGTTGACCAAATCCGAGATCAACGATGCGCTTTGGCGACTGGGTGCACTTGGGAATTCCGTGGACGTATGGCCCGGGGCGCTGTTAGGGATCGAGAGTGCAGGCACCTGGGGGAGCGATTTTGCAGGAGGTTTCTGGACGAAAGCGGGATCTGCGGGGAGATTTACATGTAACTGTTGGGCATTTGACGATTGAAGATCAACTGATTGCCTAACAGTACCGGCGAGCCGAGGATCTTGCGCTTTGGTCGAAGGTGCAAGTGACAACCGGCCCCCGAGTCGCTTGGGTAGATTGGGGTTGGGAGAGTCAACATCCATTCTGCTGGCCATGTTCCCTGAAATGAATGTATTGCAAAATACTCATCGTATCTGCAATAAAACAGAAGTGCCGTGCCTCGTAGGGTGGCTCGTGAGATGCAGTGTGCACTGAATTCCTAGAACAAAACGCTCAAGACGCAATATTAAAGCGTTCACCACGCGAAAAGTTGCTGTGAAGTGCGGTGCTTGTAGGGGTAGGTTTTGTTGAAAACGCCTAGCAGGCTCCCCCTGAGGTAGTGAAGGGAACTAGACACGTCAGATCGAAGATGTGACGGGCACGAGATTTGTGAAATTAGGTCAAGTGACGCAAATACAAGTAGAAATGAAGTCAAACGGATTCCCCGTTTCTTTGAGCGCTTATTCTGCCGGGCGGTCATGGAGCAGTTCGGTCTGCGATCTGCCCTGGCTCTCTCTCTTCTTTTGCTTTTCTAGAGCTTTGGCGCATTTTACCAACATAATCTTCCAGTTTAAAATACATTTCCCTCTGGAAATTTTCAACTATGGCTGTAGTGAGTTACAATCCTTCTACAATATCCCCATGGTTGCTGACACCAAAATAGCCAATCTCGACTGTCGCAGAGGGCAAGGAGCTCCGGGGACTGAACCTCATCGCCGCCCATTCGCATATCAGAGGCCTCGGTGTCGATGCAGACACTCTTCAACCCCGGACATCATCTCAAGGCCTTGTGGGTCAGGAAAAGGCCCGTAAGGCCGCCGCTGTGATTTTGCAGATGGTAAGGGAAGGCAAGATTGCCGGTCGCGCCGTTCTGATCGCAGGACCTCCTAGCACTGGAAAGACAGCAATTGCAATGGGCATGGCACAATCTCTCGGACCGGACGTGCCTTTCACTATGCTTGCTGCTTCTGAGATTTTCTCAATGGAGATGTCGAAGACAGAAGCCCTGACCCAAGCATTCCGAAAGTCCATTGGTGTGCGCATTAAGGAAGAGAGCGAAATCATTGAGGGTGAAGTTGTGGAGATTCAAATTGACCGGAGTGTCACTGGCGTAAGTGGATTCTCTACGTGAAACGAATTAATAGCATTGGATACTGACTACCTCCAGGGCAATAAACAAGGAAAGCTCACGATCAAGACTACGGACATGGAAACGATTTACGACATGGGAACCAAGATGATTGATTCGATGACGAAGGAACGAGTAATGGCAGGAGATGTGATCTCGATCGACAAGTCCTCCGGCAAGATCACGAAGCTTGGTCGGTCATACGCACGCTCTCGAGACTACGACGCCATGGGCGCCGATACCAAGTTTGTCCAATGCCCGGAAGGCGAGCTTCAGGTTCGCAAGGAGATCGTCCACACCGTCAGCCTCCACGAGATCGACGTCATTAACTCGCGTTCACAAGGCTTCCTGGCCCTCTTTTCCGGCGATACAGGCGAGATTCGGAGTGAAGTTCGGGATCAAATCAATACCAAGGTGGCTGAGTGGAAGGAAGAGGGCAAAGCAGAGATCATTCCCGGTGTCCTGTTCATTGACGAGGTTCACATGCTCGATATCGAGTGTTACTCCTACATCAACCGTGCCCTTGAGGCTGAGTTGGCCCCTATCGTGATCATGGCTAGCAATCGCGGCCAGTCACGCATCCGCGGAACCACTTACACCTCTCCCCACGGCCTACCCCTTGACTTCCTCGACCGGGTTGTTATCGTCAGCACGCAGATGTACTCTGGTGACGAGATCCGTCAAATCCTCGCCATCCGAGCGCAGGAAGAAGAGATCGATCTTTCACCTGATGCTCTCGCCCTTCTCACCAAGATTGGCCAGGAGTCGAACCTGCGTTATGCCAGCAATATCATTACTACTTCCCACCTCTTGAGTCAAAAACGCAAGGCCAAGGATGTTAGTGTTGATGATGTCCAGCGCAGCTTCCGATTGTTCTATGACCCTGCTCGGAGTGTCAAGTTCGTCAATCAATATGAACAGCGCTTCATCGGTGACCAAGGTACTGTTAGCTTCATTGCTGCTACCAATGGTGACGCCATGGAGCTTTCTTAATTGCGTTACATGTTTTAGTACTGGGCTATTCGGTGGACAGTTAAGCGGGTCGAAAAAACTACACTGGATCTTGATTTTTATTTTTTGTCGCATCAAACGATGTATGATAGGACTGGCGCTTGTTGAGGTGATTTTGGCCTTTTGAGACTCAATTGCAGTCCTCTGTTTTGGAGGATCTGATATTATTATTTCATTCATCAATGGTATTTTATGTAGCCAAAGCAATATCGTAATTGATATGGGGGGGGTTATGTTACAAGAAATTGACAGTGCCGCTCCACGGCCCTGAATCTCCAACTTGACGGAACTCAACACCTTCGCCAAAGTATCCCGCATTCTTCCATGAGTCCATCATCGCACTATCATATGGCCCATGAGCATCCCCTCCATCTCTAGCGTCTGACCACCGATATTCCCACATGGCTGGACCTTGCTCAGTCACTCCGTTCGCAGGAGGGTCAACCCAGTCCTCGCCTGTGTCGTTGCGGTACTGCCGTGTGAGCATTTCGCGCTCTGTGTCATAGATATCTATTTGACCGCGGCCCATCAAGATATCGGCGGCGCCAGTAATAGCATCGATTGCCTTCTTCCGGGCCACCTCGCTAGGGTCCTCATCTTTCATCTCGACATCCTCGACAGCGTTCTTCTTGTTCTTCTTGTTTTGCCACTTAGGCTTTCGGCGAAGGCCTTTGCCTAGTCGGGCCAGTGCCTCGAGGATGGTTTCGCCGCGTTCGAGGTGGGTGATGATAGTCCTCAGGACATCCGCTGTCAAAATGCTGTCGTCCAGTCGGTCCTTCTCTTTTCGCTCTGCGTCGCGTTGCTCGGCAGCCTCTTTGGCCTTCTTGATATCCTTCTTAGAAACACCCTCCAACCACGAGTCGTAGGCCGCGTCGGGGTCTATTGCCTTCCGGACATAGTTGCCTTGGTCATCGAATCGACCCTCCTCTTGTTCTGTTCGCATGTTGAAGGCATCTAGGAGAGGTGCGTGCTTTTTCTTTCCACCCGCGCCAAGCTCCTCGTCCACCACTTCGTCGACTCGTGCGCGTTCCTCTTCCCCAACTTCACTACCACTTCCATCTTCCTCTTCATCGATTTGGGCTACACCGTTGCTCAAATCTACATGAAGCGCTCCTCCGCCTTTTGAAGAAGCAACTTGGCCCTCGATCTCGTCGTCTCGTAGGAAGCGGACAGACTTTTTGTTTTTGTTTATAATGTCGTCGCCGTCGACTTCCTCTTCGCCGAAGTCTTCTTGTAGCTCGGCAAACATATCATCATCATCCGCGTCTTCCTTGGCTTGTTTGCGCTTAGATTTCTCTTCTGTGCGCGCAGAAAATCCCTCGTTCTCGCTATCCGAATCGTAACCCTCGAGATTGACCGCCTTGCGTCTTACTCTCTGGCCACGTCTACCAATCTCGTCGGCGTCCAGTACTGCGTCTTCTTCGGGTGCATCAGCTGCAAGAGCTGAGGGGTTGCGAAGGTCGAAGCGGGGCTTCTTGTGTTCTGAGGAATCCTCGACGTCGTCATTGTAGCTGGTACTAGCGAAATCTTCGCCTGCGCGCTTAGGTCGTGGCAATGAGCTCGACATGACGCCTAGGCTGGGAATTTCAGTTGAAAATAAATGAGAAAGATAATGTTGGGCAAAATTGAAGGTTAAATCGCCTCAGAGAGAGCTGATTTCCTTGTCCGGGGTCGGAGCGGAAAATCATGGCGGAGCGAACTGCGTCACTGATGGCGATCCCATTGTACCTCAAATAAACCCGGTCTCACTAACACCTTCCTCTTTACCCATCTTTTTTTACTTTAAGCTCACAGAATTCAATATGGTGAGTCAACTTAAAACTCTCCATTCTTCTCCCAATCTTCACTTTCGTAACTAACAGCTCTAGTACCGACCCGGTTACTGGTCGGACGACCCCATGGACGGAGTCCTAGGTGCCGGCATGCCTCGCCCGGGTGCTACGTCCCGTCGCTTCGATGAATACTATCGCTGCTATCCAGTGGCGATGCTTCCTGGTCCTGAAAGAGAGAATGTGAACCACGGTGGTAAGGTTATCATGCCTCCCAGCGCATTGGACAAGCTTACTCGGCTTCACATTACCTATCCGATGTTGTTCGAGCTTCACAATGGTGCGAAGGAGAGAATGACACACGCGGGTGTCCTCGAGTTCATTGCTGAAGAAGGAAAAATATATTTGCCATTCTGGGTGAGTAAGACAGACTCGAATGTGTTGTGATTGTACTAAGACTCGGTTCTCTACAGCTGATGCAAACATTACTACTTGAACCTGGTGATCTTCTTCAAATCAAATCGACAGACCTCCCTCCCGGCCAGTTCATCAAACTCCAAGCACAGTCAACATCCTTCCTCGACATCAGTGACCCCAAAGCTGTGCTAGAAAACGCCTTCCGGAATTTCTCATGCCTTTCCAAAGGCGACGTCTTCACTTTTTCATACAACGATCAAGTATATGAGATGGCAGTACTGGAGACAAAGCCCTCTGGTACTAAGAATGCTGTGTCTGTTCTAGAGACCGACTTGGAGGTTGATTTCGCCGCTCCAGTTGGATTCGAGGAACCACAGCGGGCAAGCGGGACCAGCACGCCGGGTAGTGTCATTAGCGGTGGAAAGCTTCCAGCTGGTGGATTATTGCACCCCCATGGCACTATGGCACAATCGATCAACTACCCCGCCATTGCCCCCGATGCCACCGATGCTGCCACAGGTGCCCGTGCGGCATCATCCAACTTTTTGTCCGGAGGACAGCGTCTGAATGCTAAAAAGGGCAGCAAGGCCCCGACTCCCAACCCTTCCACTCCTACTCCAGGTGCCTCAAATCCCTCGCATCAACCTCCAATCCGAAGAACCAACGGCCCTCAGCCACTTAGACTCCCGCCCAATCAGCTCTTCTTCGGTTATGCAATCAAACCTGTCAAGCCCCGTGATGAGAATGGTCTAGTTGTACCAGATGACCAGCCAAAGTTCCAAGGAATCGG